CATCATATCTTTACATTGGTTAGATAGTGTATAAATTACAGTTTGTTTCATATTTTATTTGTGTGTGTATGTAAAAATAGTTTGTTGATGTATCATGAGGTGTCTTATTGGATAGAAATTTAAACAGGTTACAAGTAAGAAACCAGAAAGACCTTTGAGGTTAGTCAAATTTACCTGTATGGCTACATAATCTAATGATATATTGTAGAACATAGAAATCAATGACTCCACATTTTCACTTGTATAATATATATAGACCAAAGAGATCAACCATTGATCCTGAGTCTCATGCTTTGGAACGAGCAAAAGAGGTTCAAGCAAATCTATCTCATGAATTTCCAAGCCTTATCAAGTTCATGCTCCGATCACACGTGTCTGGTGGATTTTGGCTGGTAAAATCCCTTAGCATGAAACTTGAGCATTGTTTTTAAGTGTTTGATATCAGGTTCTCTAATGAAAATATTGAGGATTTGATATTTTTTACGGAAACTTTTACATGTTATGTTTTTATTGAAAAACTTTATAGAAAAAAATGAGGTAGCTTCAATTGGGCTTGACAATGCTTGAAATTGATCCAGTTAAGTAGTCATATATATATATATATATATATAAAATCTTGAAGTACAAGAATAATACACTTGGCACAAAATTTTGTAATGGCAGGGTCTTCCTAAACATTTTTGTGAAGTGCATTTGCCAAAGGTTGATACTATGATTGTTTTGGAAGATGAGAATGGTAGAGAATACGAAACAAAATATCTTACTGAGAAAGTGGGCTTAAGCGGTGGGTGGAGAGGGTTTTCCTTGGCTCACAATTTACTTGAAGGAGATGTTATAGTTTTCCACTTGATCCAGCCTTATAAGTTCAAGGTAATAGTTTCACAATTATGAGAAAAATTACTAATTAGTGAGAATTTGCCACAATGCTTCATTGCTTGAGTCAAGTTGGTAATTTTTAGTGTCTTTCGTGTCCAAAGGTGTACATCATAAGATCTCATGGGTCAAACGAAGTAGATGTTGCTCTCAGCCTTCTAAATTTAGACGGTTGCATGAAGCAACATGATTCTGGTAAGTTTCCTTTATATGATTCTCATTTCTTTGTTTACTTTGACATTTCTATGTTTCTAATTGCTTCTTATGATCTCATCTTTCTAGATTCTCCGCAAGAAAATGATTCAAACTATAGCAAAATGATCTATGAGCCTAACATACTGCCATTAGACCAACCTGAAAATACCAGTGATCTAGATGAAAATTTGGGCCCTGAAGTTTTGAATGGGATTAGATTATCAGAATCTATAATCGCTTTCCAAGAAGTCACAAGCATTGAGGATTTCAGTGTTGTGGTCAATGGCCTAGTACTTGATTCAGAACTATCCAAACACCTCAAAACCAAGTACTATGAACTTTGCTGCAGTCAGAGAATGTTTCTTCATGAGCATCTTCTTGAAGGTCAAAACAGTAAACTGGTTGTTGGAATGATCTGTGAGACTATTAACATTGCTGACGCCATTAGAGCCAGCAAGCTCACAACTCCTTCAGATAGTTTTGCCGTGTGGTACAAATCTTTGAAAGGCCTTGAAATCTTTGGCATGAATGTTAGTTTCTTGCTTGCTAGGCTGGAAAAGCTCATGAGTTTAGCGTCAAAATCTAAGAGGTACAAAGAGACAAAAATTGAACGAGACCAAGCTGAACAGGAAAAGAAAGTTCTTGAACTAAAGCTTGAGAAAGTGAAAAAGACCATAAATAGACTTGATGGTGAGCTTGGTTTCCACAATCTGAACCTTGAGAGATTGGAGACTGAATTTCGAGAACTGTCTAAAGCTCCTTGGTGATCTAGTATATTGAAGCTTTCTCTTTTGTATTTCTAAATTTAGATATTCTCATGTAGCATAATAGTCATATGTTGATCTCTGTCTTACATGACTATCATATCACAGGAACGGATCTAAATTTTGTCTCTTGGAAAAGGTGTAGAAAATGTTATAGAGAAATTGTTTTTTGGGCTAGAGCCTTGGAGTTACTTTGTTTTTCAAGTGAAGCTTTAGAGTTACCTACTAGCACTAGCTGAAGATAATATATTCGTTTGGCTAAAAATATGTGATCAATATAATGTATATCAGTTATCAGAAAACTTGATATATGTTGTTGTCAATGCAATTAATTATATATCCTTCAAATTAATGGATCAAGTTGTATATTTTGAGTTTCTAAGATAGTTTGGGAAGGTTAAAACCGCTATCAAGGAACAATGTATCAAAAGTAAATTTAGCTAAAAAATGTACTTTAACATGCTTCCATGTTTCATTTCAGTCAAGGAAAAAAAAATGCATGCCTTTTCTTTAAATAGAAAACAAGACTTTTGTCGGAAAATGTTGATGTTTAATTACACTGCTTATATCTACAAGTCCTTTCATTCTGATGTGTTTTCTTTTCATCATTGATAAGCCTTCTTTTTGTTAATTCTGCTATAAGTTGTTTGATTTGGGGAACGCTATTGTCTGCATTGTAACGAGCTCTTCCCGAAGATGTAATTCGTGCCAAATTTTTTTCTTGCCTAGAGAGCACGGTGATACCATTATGATTAGAAAAGCACAACTTAATAAAAATAAATTCTCATCCACTTGTTAGAATTTCAAAGAAGCAAATAAATATATAGCATAAAAATAAATAGCATAATTTAATCAAGAAACTATTAACATGAAAAACCTCTTAATACAATGGCAAAAATCATGGGTCGTTTAGACCCATGAAACTTAGCTCCACTCTAATCAAAATAAGGTACAAAAGATTCTCAAACAAATGTATAAATAAGTGCAAACAACTAGCCAAAATGTCAAAGCAATAAGCTTATAAAAGAGGATAAAAAAGATGAAAAATACCCAAACTACAGATAGAGTGATGAAGTGCATAACTCTCACACTAGTTATTGAATCAATGATCCAACTATTAAAAATGATAAAATAAATTTTATAAATTTATTGATCAAATTTCAGCTTGATCCAACGATTATTAAATTTACAAAAGCCAATTTATTGAGACTATAATGTCAAGATGTGAAAATAGCTCTCTCTCCTTCCTTCTAATCATTATGACCTCTCGTTCATAACATAATTTGAGCTTTCTGAACTTTACTCACTCAAACTTATAATGAGCTTTAATATTAGGCATTTCTTTATATAAAAAGTGAGTCTGAACCTAATTAAATTGGGATAGTTCTACTATTAATGTTGATACATTTTCATGCATGCTAAAAAAAAGTTAATTTTATAGGGATTAAATATATAATAAGAGATAAGTTACTTAACATTATTTATGTTTACTTATATTTGAATTTTATTAATTTTAATAATATTTTAAATTATTTATTTAAATATCATCATATTTTTCATTTAAAGTTTTATTTTAAATTAGTGGGAGATGATACAATTAGATTATATAGCACATTAAAAGTTGTAAATTTTTTTGCATAATTACAAATAAAAAATTAAATATTTTAAAATCTTTAATGGGATCTCCCTAATAGTGTTACATTTTCATTGCTTGAACTCAACATTTGATTAGGATAGTCCAACTTGAAAAAATTGAAAACTTATTTATTTAGTATTTATTAAAAAAATTTAAATGTATAAGTGGGCTAAAATAATATTTCAAACACAAAACTTAGTTAAATAGGGGTTTAATATATAACAAGAGATAACTCACTTAATATTATTTATCTTTATTTTTATTTAAAATTTGATTAATTTTGATAAATAATTTTAACTTATTTATTTAAATGCTATTATATTGAATTATCTAAAGTTTTTTTAAATTAGGGGGAGGCGAGACAATTAGATTTTGAAGTACATTGACGATTGTAAATTTTGTTGTATAATTAAAAATAAAAAATTAAGTATTTTAAAATCTTTAATGGGACCTCCTGACACATTGGATTAAAATCGCAGGTTTTAAAAATAAAGAGAATTTTTTTATAAATTTTTTATGAGTACAATAAATAGATTTTGCCGCACAACTTTTCTTCTTTAGGATAGTGAGCGCAAAAGATGACTCTTCCCAATTAAATTGCTACACACACTTTTATCCAAAAAAAAAAAAAAAGTTACATGTAAACGCGAGAGTTTGAACCCTAGCTACTCATTTTATGAAGGCTCCTATCACTTACTCCCTTCATTTTTTATTATTAAAGAAACTACTATTTTTAATTTTTTTTATAAGTAAAATCACCTACTTCAAAAAATATTTATTACACATTTTTTCAATCACCTTCATAATTTACATTAATAAAATAATTAATATATGTTATGGTTATATTAATTAATACATGACATTTTAGTTTACTTTTTTTTATTTTTAGACATAATTATTATAGTTAATTAACTTTTTAAAATTTTATGATATAATTTTTTTTTTCTTACATATAGAAATGGAGAGAATATATCAGTTTGACTTGGTAAGCCAAATCTTTATAGTTTTAGTAAAATGCAAGGAATGCCACTGTATTTTAATTCAAATAACATGAGCACCCCGCGGATTCATGTAGTTGGAAACTTTATCTCCAAAATGCCCTCCCTCCATTAAACTTGTGAATTGTATCATTTATGCAAGTACATTGATCTTTATTTATAGTACATTAATACTAGATGCATGAATTTTTTGCGAATCATTACAATAGTACATGCATGAACTTATTATTTGTGCAAGGAAGAAGCTTTTCATTAATTTAGATACTTTCTACTGATCATACATTCATGTATTTGGAGGTAGTTAACATCATGGGAACAGAAAATTAATGATTTCATGAAGAAATCAGCAATCATTTATTACTTTTAATCTCCCCTAAGAACATGTCTCAAAATCCGGAAATTCATGAACCATGGAAAACGATAAACTGATAAGCAACGAGTAATATCCATCAATAATGGATGACGCTGAGTGTATATAAAGGATTCGTCAGCCTCTGGGACAAACACAACCAAACCTTCTGTTACAGAGCAAAGCTTAGAGAGTGAGCGACAATGGCGGCAACAACACATGAGAATGGAGTGAAGCCGGTCGAGGCCAACGGAAACTCGACAACGACTGAGACGAAGGAGTATCTGAACGAGCCATTCATAGACCTGGTCGAGTTCATGAACGGCGACGATGCAACTAGGGCTAGGGCTTGCGAGCTTGTAAGAGACGCGTGCATAAAGCACGGCTTGTTCCAAGTGACCAACCATGGCGTCGATCCTGTTCTGATTCGAGAAGCGTACGAAGAGATTGATTCCATCTTCGGAATGCCAAAGGAATTGAAGATGATTGCCGCGAGGAAGCGTGGTGCTGTTAAGGGCTATTTAGGAACTTATGATGAAAAGTTTTCGTCCACCGTACCATTCAAAGAGATCTACTCTCTTCATTACAGCAATGTTGGATCTAACACTCAAGTCATTGACCATCTCAAGACTGCCTACGGAGAACACCTTCCTGAACGCACCGGGTAAGTAATGTAAATTTAAGCCTTCAGATTTGAAATTAAAAATTTGGCATTCTTATGTTGCTCTTGTCTATTTGTTCTCTGTTCCATTTTGGGATTTTCTCTCTCCATTCCCACCATAAGTGGTATCACAAAATTTGACTTTGCCCCATACTTGTGTGTGATTATTGGGCACACCTTTGAAGTAGCTGATGTGCATGTCAAAGAAAATTTGACTTAATAATGACTAAGGACACATGATTTTGAATCTATTTTCCTATATGTTCTTTTTTCCTATTTTTGAACCGTTACTCCCCTTTCCTATTGGTTCTTACATGTACACATACATGTATGATTTGATTAGTAATTTTGAATAGTTTGATTGAATTTGGTTACATATATATACAGGAAGGTGTATGAGAGGTACGTTGAAGCGATGACGGAGCTGACTAAAGTGGTGATGAAGGTGATTGCGATGAGTCTGGGAGTGGATCGATCACACTTCAGGGAATATTTCAAAGACGGCGGAGGCATTTTGAGATGCAGCTTATACCGTCCATGCGACAATTCCAATCTCTCCATAGCCAAAGGACCTCACAGCGACCCCGTCTGCATCACCATTCTTCATCAAGATCAAGACGCTGGTCTCGAAGTTCTCATGGACAACAAGTGGCTCGTCTGTCAACGTCGTCCTGAGGCCTTCGTCGTCAACCTCGGCGACACTTTCCAGGTATGTAGGTTAAGGTTAAGTTAATTATTATTACATGCATGTTCATTGCATGTTATGTTAATTTACGCGCGCGCTTGTGTGTTTGGACGTACTAGGCTTTGTCGAATGGGAAATACAGGGGCTGTATTCATAGGGCTATGGTGCTGAAGGAGCATGAGAGGAGATCGTTGGCTTACTTTGTGGTTCCGAACAGAGACAAGACAGTGAAACCACCTGAGCTGATCTTCGGAGAGAAAGAGGAAAGGAAGTACCCTGATTTCCAGTGGCGTGATATGTTCACATTCACACAGATCTATTATACAGCTGATACTGAGACTCTTAATCGCTTCCTTGAATGGCTTCCCTCCAAGGATTCTGTTCCAACTGCTGAAGATGCTTGAGTATATCATCGTACTCATAATTATATTACTCTGAATAACCCAAGTACTTATGTTGCTTATTGTCAATGGATGTACTCGTTGTCTGGTCTCTGATTTATCTCATGTTTCTGTCTTGGTAGTGGCTACACACCCACCCACACAGTGCAGGTGTAAGAGTTATAATGAATAAATTTTTAATTCAATTGTCTGAGAATGTGTTTATACTTTTAAGCAATTAATTAATACCAGCGTTTGGCTTTATCTTTACTGAATATCAGAAACGAAGGAAAGCCCGTTTTGTTATATGTAATTAAGGAGAAACACAACACCTAAATATTTACATACATTTCTGATATTCATATATGCTGCGCTACATGTAACAAATTACTACAATAAAGTGGCAAATGAATAAAGGCATTTTGTTCTGAATCACCAAAGCTTATTCTTTATTATTAGAAAAGAAGGAAATTAGACCATTTTGTTGCATGTGAGGATGTGTATAAACATCATCTATATATATATGTATGTTCATATATACGCTGGCACAAGTACATATAAATGTGGTGTGGAATGAAGATATTAATATTAAATAATATTTAATATTAAATTAAGCTTAAATTCAATTTGGCTCCATTTTTTTTATCAGCACAATTTGACTCCATTAAATTTATATTTTCAATAACATAATTTGTTTTCATTATGATGATCTTAAAATTTTTAATTAAATAACTGTGAATTCTCTGGATTTCGTGGAATAAAAGATAGATATATTTTTAAGAGGAAAACATGAGAAACGATTTTCATTAAATTACTGAATAGTTTGTCTTTAAATCATATGTTTATATTCTAGTTGAGTATATACAATAGAAAATTCCAAAATGGATGTTATTTGTAGATGATATAGTGTTAACTTAGCTTTTACAGAGAGCTGTCAAGAGAAAATTAGTTGACTCTTAATAAACCTGAGATAAGGAGACATGGTTTGCAAAATCAAAGAATTTTTTATTGAGTGGGAGAGCAGAATTTATACATTTTTTTACAAATTTCGCAAGAGACAAGTTAGAAATAATTTGGAGAAGATTATACTTTAATGGCCTCAGGAAAAGTAGATTTTACTTGTTAAAATGATTTGTTTCCGATTTGGCCCCCATTTATCGACTCTTGAATCCATCAATATAATATTGATTTGGCGGTTAAAATTGGAAACCACATCACAAGCATTAAAGTCAAGTATCGATTGAAAACAAAATAACAGTAAAATTGATGAAAATGTTATGTATAGAATACATTTTGTGTGGTTAAATTACATCAGGTGTCATATGTGACCAAAGTTAATTTCTACTAAATTTAAAGGAAAGTTCTACTGTTGTAAAATTGTAGGAACTAATGGTAAATGTTTGAAAAACGATGGTATAAACAAAAAAAAGTTGGCGTGACAGCTACTATGAAAAACTGGTGGAAAATTGATTCAGGTGATTTGGACAAAGATGAAGATTATTGGAGGTGCCAGCGATTAGGTTGAACGTATCATTTTTAACCCTATATAACAAAAAGATATAGAAGGATATTTAGGCAAGTTATCATATGAGTTTTCAGGGTGAATGATAAGACACTAGAAAAATATTTATTATGATTTTTCAATATATTGTTATTTTTAATGTTTGTTGCTCCTTTTTCCATTTAATTTAACTCTTTTTTCATTAAAACATGAATTTAAATATTGGTAAAATTAAATACTTTTTTCGTCTTTTAAATAATAGCATCCCCTTGATTCTGATGAAAAGACTAAAAATACCTCAATTATAAAGAGTAGTGGAAGCAAATATCTGAATATATATTTAATTAGCTATTAACCAAGTTCAATTTACATGTCATGTGATTTATACAACTAATCTCACTTGGTGAGATAATGTTTGACTTGTCTTCCCATCCACACTTTAACTATTTGCATTTTTTTTAATTTATTTCATTTCCTTCCTTTATAACAATCAAACGAAACTTAAGTTGACTTCCTCGTCAGCTTGATACTTTGAATGTGTTGGACACACTTCCGAAATTGGCAAATGAATGGCGAGCCTAGATTCATACGCACTTAGCTTCCTCCACTAGTAAATTTGTGAGAATTATATTAGAACCGATAATTAGGACAGGTTGGACTTATTCGAATTAAACTTCAAGTATCATATTCCTTCTAAAAAGCCCTTACAGTCAAGCTTGACTTTAACACCTTTAAATTTCAAACTTATTTGGTCTGGCCCGAATGTCAAAAACTTTTTTAAAATATTTTTTTATTTTTTAAATCAATTTTAATTTTTAAATAATTCTATTAAACATAAAATATTATTTTAACCTTAAAAGAATAAAATAAAAAATAACTCATTAACTTTGTACTTAAGTAGCTCTATTATTGTTTTGTTATATTATGTATAATTTATTTATAAATATTTTCTTTACTTATAAATTAATATCTTAATTGTTTAAATATTTCTCTTATCATAGTAATATATAAATATTTTATATATTTTAATTAAATTATATTATTTTAATTATAATTAAGTTGATCTCAATTCAATCATCAGTAGACTACTAACTTAAAATTATTATCCAACTAGTTCAAAGTTTTTAATAACTTTTGAGTAAGTTATACTTTTTATTTTTATGAATATAAAAAAATAGCCATCATTATATTATATAAATCAAAATTATTTAATTATGAGTAAAATATTATTTTTTTAAATTATTTTTCTTTAACTTTTTATATTACTTAATCCTTAAATATAAGAAATTTTTATTCTAGTTTATTATTAATTTTTAACTAAGTCTAGCATGGACAATAACCAAGTAATTATTCAAAATATTATTTTATTTATTATGTTTATCTAGTAATAGAGTCAAAAATTCATACATACCTAAATTTTATTTTTAAAATCATTTTTAATTTTATTTTTACTTTAAAATTAATTATCTTATTTTATAAAAAATATAAAATTAATTTTTTTATACACAAATGATGTATAGGATATAATTTTTTTAAAAAAAATTTGCATCTTAAAATATAAAAATTAATATTAAAATATATTTTAAATATTATTTTGAGATATTTTATTGATTAAAAATAATAAAAATATGAAAATATAACTATTTTTAATTTTTTAAAAAAATAACTATAGTAATACACTCAAATATATAGTATTTTGATATAAAATGATATAAAATTTAAAAAATTAATTAATATTTATCACATTTTATATATTTTTTAAAATATTATTTTTTATTCAAATATTTGGGCCAAGCCTAAACCTGATCGAACTTTGCCTGAATTTTCTTGGATCTATTTAGGCCTAAACATTAAAAAAATATTTTTTCAAGCTTAATCTTAAATTTTTCCAGTAAATTCGGGCTTGACCCAAATTACTAACTTTAAAATATACAAGCATGTTCCCTGTGCTATACTCTCTCTCCAAATACATGAATGAAGAAGCAGAGAGAATCCAATTTAAGTAATAGCTTCCTCTTCTACAAATAATAAATTCATGCATGTAATACATAAAGATTAATGTACTCTATTTTATCCTAAAAAGATTAAATGTACTTTACAATTATATAATAAAAACATGACATCCAGATGACATTAAATATAAATTAATTAATTAATGATAATATGGAGAGAAAATGCAAGGAATTAAATAGATATTCTATTAATTAAAAATAAAAATGAATAGGCATTTCATTATAAAAATAAAGTTATTAAAAGTAATACCACATAAGACTTTATTTGATTGAATTAATATAATTTATTGAATAGAACATAAATGATGGATTTGTCCTAAAATTTCTCTTTTCCAATTCACTAGTTTTACCGATTTTCTGTTGGTTCGGACCAGTTCTTGATTTTATCCCAGTACTAGATATCTGGCCTGTCCAATTAGTTTATCAACTATTGATATTTTTTTCCTCTTAAATATGTTTCTTCACGTTAGGAAGCAAAACAAAGGGAAAAAGAAGCAGCAGAAAAACGTTGAGATTAGAAGTTAATGAATGATCTAGATTTTCCCTTGCAAAATGCATAAATATAGTTTCATTGCGTGACCTCTACGATCCATGTTCATTATTTATGTCATAGGTACATTCATTTATTACATTTAAGTTCTTACAGCTTGAAAAAATTTATTAAGATGAAATCTACAATTATTAACTATTAATTATGTTTTCTAAAAACATTTCTCAAAATCCTGAAATTCATGAACCATATCACCTTCATCTATGATACATCCAATATAAACTGATCAACAAACTAACATTATCAAGAACAGAAATAGGAAATAATTATATTTCATTGTTAATTTTAAAAAAAACATGTACATCTTCTTCAAAAACAAAAATCACCCTCTTTAATGAATTCAACATTGAATCGGGTCATATGCTCCCCATTCACTAATTAATAAGCAAATACATAAATGTTTACTGAAAACTAACTCTGTTTCATTGCACCCAGTAGTCAATCACAGACATGCACAAAATTAATTGCTTTAATTTTGAAAAACAAATTAAAGCGAATGAAATTTCAAAAAATATATCTTTCCATATAGAAGGAGGACGCTGAGTGTATATAAAGGATTCGTTAGCCTCAAGAACTGACACACAACACAGCCAAAGCAAACCTTTCTGTTACAGAACAAAGCTTTAGAGTGAGCGACAATGGCGACAACAAGGAAATACGAGAACGGCGTGATGGTGTTCGACACAAGCTTGCTGAAACAGCAAGAGAAGATGCCGAGCGAGTTCGTGTGGTCGGCGGAAGACTTGACGGAGACGACGAGGGAGGATCTGAAGGAGCCACTGATAGACTTGAGCGAGTTCGCGAAAGGCGACGAGGAAGCCATGGCTAGGGCTTGCGAGCTGGTTAGAGAGGCGTGCGAGAAGCACGGGTTTTTCCAAGTGACCAACCATGGCGTCGATCCTCTTCTGATTCAAGCGGCTTACGACGAGATAGGGCCCATCTTCAGTCAGCCTCTTGACGTGAAGCTGAATGCGAAAAGGAAGCAAGGTAGTGTTCAGGGCTATTCTGGGGCTCATGCTGATCGATTTAAAACCAATTTGCCATGGAAGGAGACTTACTCCTTTGAATATAGCAATCAAGGTTCTGATTCCCACATCATTGAGCATTTCAAGTCTGCCTTCGGAGACAACCTTGATAAACATACTGGGTACGTACGTAAGATTCTGATGATACAGGAGTATAACTTTTGTTAATTAGTATGTGTTAATGGATTCAAGCTGACCACGAGAGAAATTTTATATCAGCTATATTTAACTGATGTGAGTTTCAGGGTTCAAGAGACTAAATAATTAATATATAGAACTCTTATATTTGACTTCAAGGCAGTTCTTTGGGGGGGGGGGCTCACAGGAGTGCCTTTATTAGAGTTGTTTAGAGCAAAAATACTCTGAAATGCAAAGATACCAGATTAGCGTTGCTACAAAGAAGCGCAGTGATAAGTCAAAAAGAAGTGTTTTCATATGATATTTTTTGTAGTAGCTAGAGAGTTTGTCAGTTAAAATGCTGCGTTCTTCTATTATTCTTTGTCCAATTACTATCTGTCCTGTTTTTGAAAGGTGGCTCTCACATCTTAACAATTCATTATTGAACGTGATTATTAACATGGTTGACACTTGACAGGGAGGTGTATCAGAGGTTCTGTGAAGCGATGAAGAATCTGTCTGAAGTGATACTGGTGGTGTTGGCGATGAGTTTGGGAGTGGAACGATCATACTTGAAGGAGTTTTACAAAGACGGAGGAGGCATCATGAGATGCAACTTATACCCACCATGCAACAGTTCAAACCTGACCATGGGCACTGGTCCTCACAGTGACCCAACCAGTGTCACCATTCTTCATCAAGATCAAGTTGGTGGTCTTGAAGTCTTCATCGATAACAAGTGGCTCGCCGTTCGCCCTCGACCCGAGGCCTTTGTCATCAACGTCGGCGACACTTTCCAAGTACATACCAACTTCATTTCTTCGGATTTGGGAAGTCCGTGGTCCTCTATACTGTTCCAACTCTTATTTTAGTTAATGGTAAAAAAAAAAAAACTCAAATAATTTCTCCAAACGCTACGGGTTGAGATTTTCGGCATTAGAGAGGAAGAAGACACCCCAAATCCCAGTTTCTTCTTTTGTTTATTAACCCCTCTTATCTTGTTTATAGAACTTACGCGTTAGTTCTTAAAACAAGACCCTTTACAAAATTTTATAATGGTTTTTTTTTCCATGCTATAAACTATGTCAATGAAGAGGTAATTTTGAATAAGATGCAAGTAACTTTAACTAGTTTCCCTGACCTCGTACTCGGAGTATCTATATATTGCTATGTCTTATGATACTTGTTGTGTATGTATGCTATTAGGCGTTGACAAATGGGAAATACAAGAGCTGTCTGCACAGGGCATTGGTGAACAGGGAGAAAGAAAGGAGATCATTGGTGTACTTTGTTATTCCAAAGAAAGACAAGACGGTGAAGCCACCTGAAGAATTGATCAAAAAAGAGGAAGAGAGGAAGTACCCTGATTTCAAATGGTCTGATTTCTACACTTTCACTCAATACCATTATCGTCCTAATACCCATACTCTTCCCAACTTCATCCAATGGTTTCTCTCTTCCAATAATCATTCTGCTGCTGCTGCTAATTAGTTTGGCTCCTCCGATCTTTATCAGTCAATTATCATATATACTGAATAATAATGCCCAACTTATGTTGCGTCGTCGTCATGTGTTCGTTCGCTTTGTTTTGTCTCCTCTGAGTTATCTTAATAATGTTCCTGTATGTCTGTCGCTTGACAGTCCTGTTGCCATACACCCGCATCGGGATGATGTAAGGGTTATATGAATAAATTTTTATTTTAAGTTTGTGTGATGTGTGAGAATATATTTATTTATCTTCTTTATAGATATAACTTTTTAAATTAAGCTGAAAAAAGACCATCAGAAATCTTGGCAAATGTGAAGAACCAATAATTATAATCACTGGTGTTTGGTCGTCTGCATGCATACTGCTGATATTTCCAATAATTTGATATTACATGGATTGTTGTTGTTTCTGGCAACTGGTTCTGCCAGAAATTAAACCTTTTCTGTCATACAATTACAACAAACCCAACCTTGAGAACTGATGATATAAATCAGAAAACATACTATGCAAAGAGAAGATATTAATGACAGTACGTGCTTATGCATGACTTTCATTATTTACTTGCTAATTTTATTTTAAAAAATACTTCTTTATACAAAAAATGGATAATCAGTGAAAAAGATCTTAATTAGATAATGTATCGTCATATATATATGTATATAAACATGTATAACACCCAGAAAGATCACTGGTTAAGTCTGATATATATAACACGTTCCCCTGTATTATTAGAAAAGAAGGATTCTAAAGCTTATTTTGTTAAAATATTTTAAGGATCTTCATACTTAAGCGCATTAATAACACCAAATGTAACAAAATTAAAAAGTGGAAAATGAATATATGAATGAATGAAGTAGTATATCTTGGTCTGAATTACTAATGCTGCTTTAATTCTCTGCATTATAGCAAAGAATGAAAGCCCATTTTGTTAGATGTGAGGATATATATTTGTATACATGTGTGTATAAACATTATATATATTCTGTAGAACTACACATAACAAAATTGCAAGTATGTAGTGGAAAAATGAAAATGAAGATATATATTTTGGGTCTGTATAATACTACCAATGCCCCACTGAATCCATATTGTCTTGGGGCTGTAATTGTTTCTGAAATGAATTTGATGAGAAAGTTGGTAAGGAAAATGTCTGATCCGTGGGCACATAAGGAGGAAGATGAGGCTGAGAAATGAGACTTGTTGAAGAATATACATTATTGTTTAAAGGTGGGTTATTGTTAGCATTATTGTGTTCCTGATTATGGTGGTGGTGGTGGTGGTGGTGAAGCCTTTGTTGATCAGATCGTTGTTGTTTGGGAACGTTAAGCTTCTCTCCTTCTATCTCTCTGTATTTCTGAAGGTAGGACTTGAGAGGATCGACGTAGTCCTCAAAGCCTAGGGTTGTGATGGCCCAGATGATGTCATCGCCATTGATGGTCTTTCTCTTTTCTCTCTGACACTTATCGGAGGCCTCGCCGGTGACGAAGCTGATGAACTCGGAGACACATTCCTGAACAGTTTCCTTAGCGTCCTTTGAGATTTTGCCATTGGCAGGGATCACTTTCTTCATGATCCTTCCCACATTGGCGATGGGAAGGAAGCGATCTTGTTCTTTGTTTGGTGATAATGATGATGATGATTTTAAGCAAGGGCTCTCAGGACTGCCTGTGCTTGGCAAATTGGTCGTGTTGCTAGGGCTCTCATCTTTCATTCTTGATCAGCTGTTTCATTACAGAGGAAGGAGAGAGAGAGAGAGAGAGGAATGTGATATGAGGTTTTTGAGAGAGGAGAGAATATGGAGTTAAGGGTTAGAGAGAGAAACGAAAAGAGGGGCATGAAAATAGGCAGGCGAGGAGAGGAGGGTAATTTTTCACCAATGAAACCCTAGGGACTCGCTCTTGATATCTATTGCACTGCCATTCATACATGACCCAGTATAGTACAATTATACATAGACATATGTACTCATAGTTTAGCATTGCTGTGACATACGCATTGTTGACATTCTTCAACTCTGTTGATTTGGCAATGAAAATGATTCCCGGACCGACATAGCATATGTATTACGTATGTTAGGTTTTTTTTTTTTTTTATTTCTGTGAGTGGGTACTCATACAATATATTTAGTGGAGGCTAGCTCAGCTGATAATAGTAAAATGGGATATGAACAGAGGTCAATTCAAAAGGGTAAAAAATATATATTAATGTGGTCGAGCGAGGCGATGGCACGGTATGCTGATTTTTCAAATGCTATTGTCCTTCTCCATGTCCAGACAGAAAGTCGCATCTAAGATTTTCAAAAGATGTGAAACACTCGTGCTTTTGGAGCTATTTCCAACTTTCAACGAATAATATTATATATATAATCATATATTGCTGGACACATTTATCATTATTATTATAAGTACTACTAATATTATTATTATTTATGTTTAAAAGTCCTGTTTGTAGTCTTTTATGAGAGTGGCTGAGATTAAAAATCATATATATTATAAAATTTTCATAAATTTTAAAGAGAAAAATATATAATATATATAATATTAATAAAAAATTTAAAAATTTAGGGGTGTCACATATTGGTCCCCCTCCCTTCATTCCTACTTAGTCACTTACCAATATTTCTTTTTTTTTTACAGGAATTTTAAAAATGCCTTTGATGTATTTATTTAATGTGATTACATAATTTAAAGCTCAAACTCAAGACCTTAAAATAAGCTATTTCAACTCTCTCCACCAATTAAACCAAGTACTCTTAGATAGTTACTAATTTATCTGGAAGCATGTATAAATAATCACTACTCGTTTGTAATATTAAAACTTAATCAATATCAATATACAAGGATGTAGCCAAAAAATTTTGTTTGAAGGCCGAAATAATAAAGCATATATGATAATAAAAAAAAATTAAATCTATATATATAACTAACATAACATAAATATTTCAATATGTATATATTTATATTCAATTTTACACACACATATATAGCAAAAATAAGTTTTATTCATTAATTTTTATAGTATAAAAATAATTAATTATTATGTTTACAATAAAATTTTTAAAAAATTCCTTCTCAATATAAACTATCATTAAATTAGTGAATATTTCATCTTTCCCATAAGTATTAAATAATTTAATGCATCATTGGTATCTAAAATTCTGTCCAACATAAAAAATTATATTACTTACTTATTGAATTTATTATTTCATTCTTTTAATTGATATGTTCTTCATTCAATATATCTTAAAATTTTTGTTGCAATACTTTACAAAGTTTGTTAGTAATAATTCTCATAACTTATTTCATTAAATATAAAATGAAAGCAAAATCAAATTATATAAATACTTTAAGAGTAACTGTAATGTTGTCTTATTGAAAATAAATATATTATATGATAATTATCTTTAAGCTACCATTGCAATTGGACTATACATGTGTAAAAGACTATTGTAAAATAAAAATAAAAATTCTATCTAATATCTCAAAGTTTTTATAATGTATCAAAGTTAAGGGCAAAAAATATATTATCCCTAAATTTTACTAAGAAAATATCAAAAAATTAAGAGGACCGTAACCCTTATTGGTCCCCTGTCAATATATACACCAGTTTCGATCATCTACGATATAATGATGTATTCATATAATCTAATCAATGTATCGTATATATAAAGTCCTGCAGCTGTTAAAAAAATAAAGGAAAATATCAATAAAGGATTCCCAAAAAAATCTAATCTTTTAAAAAGATCATCAAGAAGTAAAAATTAATAAATTGACAAGTAAAATTATTATTTTAACAAGTACTAAATATGTTAGGTGTCAATTAGATTCTTTCAGAAACTCTTCATTCATGTCTCCCCGGAACAAAAGAGTGTAAAGTCCTGCAACGTGCAAGAAGCGGAAAAGATTGGGCTACTTTCTATATTTAGTGTTGTTCCCCTGGTGGACTTTCAAGGAAGATCAAGCATCTCAATTAATTTGGGGCTAAGAACAAAAAAGGAAAAAGAATTGAGAGTTTCAGTTAGTAATCACTTGGAGGACTAAAATAAGTCAATTTGGTCAGATCCGAAAAAAGGAATAGAAGAGGACAAATAAGCCAATTTGGATCCCCCTTTATTTTTTAATTAAACTTATTAAAATCCGCCCAAAACAAAAAAAAAAACAAAAATCGTGAGAGATGGTCGGTGGGATCGCATCATGGTCTCCCAAGAACTGTAGCCAAGCTCTCTAATAGTTTTTTATTAGGAAAGCACTAAGATAATGTATATTCAACAAACTCGGCACATTTGAATCTTTGTTCCCGGACTTATTCGATTATCTAATAGAGCTAGTTGATGACATCATCGACGTGGATAGGATTTGAATTCTCCCCCACCCAACTCGCAATCAAGTTGACAAATGGGAACATACTTAACAGTTGACCCTGGCATCAAATTCTAATTATTCCACCATAAGTTCCGGAGTAACCCACTCCGGACCCGTTTGCACTCTACCAAAAAGGGGCTATGAAAAGTAAGAGCTGTGTTAAGAGCCACAGAAAATACGAGTATGATTTCAAGAACAACAAAACTATTAGGCTTCTAAACCAATTGCCTTTACACTTTTGCAAGAATGCTATCAGGTTTACCTCCCCGCCATTCAACGTTACAGCAGAAGACATCACCCTCCAAATAAATATCAATATTGAAAAACCAAAGGACGACGGAACACTAAGGTGCCTAACTAACATCATACATGACTTATGTGGAAGTACCAGTTACACGAGATTTCTTTTTTCTTGTTTTTTCCCCCTTTTTTCTCTTCTTGGAAAAAAAAAATTCAGAAGTTACACGAGCATTTAGAGCAACCAAACCCAAAAATCACCTATTTCTCATCTGCAGCACATCCATGATTAGGCAAGAGCGTACTCAAGTTTTTCCGATTCTGATGGCCGCCACATGGATTTCTGGACACAGAGCAATCCCTCCTTGTCCTTAGAGTAAGTCATGCGAACCTCCCAATGCATTGCCCTCAACATGCTTTCAAGCTCAGTAATAATTTCAACATTGTCACGGACAATAAGCTTCCCCTCAGGCCTGAGAATCCGATCAACCTCAGCAACAACAGCCACTATATTGCACCTGCGTAACCAAATCAACCCAGATTTTAGTAATCTGACCGTTAAATTTTGTTGACGATAAATGTGAAAGACAGTAATTAATGCACACCTTTTCTTGAGCTTTGAAAAGAGATGATCTGCATGGAGGAGATCATAGGTCCTAGGGTAGGTACTAAAGGATTCACACCAATCATGATATATGCCAAAAAGGCCACGTTCATATATGATGGGAAGGGTATCTGCAGTCTCTATCGAAACCACGTTCATGACCCATATTTTCATATTCCTCAGAGCAGCAGCAAATCTGCAAACCGTAAAGGGGGTCAAAGCAAGAAAGGGCAAGATGCCGAAGATAATAATCACAACCTATTATAACTCAAACAGAGCAACAACTGCGACCATTAATAGTGCTTACCCTCCGTAGACAGCTCTCATATCCATGACATTTCTCACTTTTGACCAGTCAATTCCCATCCCATTTAGATAGGACTTGGACACCACACGACTCCAGTGTTCATAGTCAGCAATAAAATCATCAGGGGCAGGCTTTCCATATACTCCAACTTGGGAACTCAACAACCAGTAGGGTGCTTTGGTCAGTCTTGCTGGCCACTGCTCTGGCCATTGTGACCCACGTTCAGCTGAATCCACTGGCACTTTGTGCATGCAAGCTTGCAATGGAATATTCCTGTCACACCAAAGAGATTAGACATTCACAATATATTAAAAGTACAAGATTATTGAGCGTAGCCTTGTTGCTCAAGGTTTTTATTTGTAGCAGAAATGGTAAACATCAGTCCCAGCTGTATTCAAGTTTCATGATTTTTATATGTAAACACAGTATGCCTCCTAAACATTTTCCTTGCTTCAGAATAGTAATAATACATCAGTAAAGCAGAAATACCATGCTGCATTAGGATCATCTGAGTCAGGACACATAGGAGGCTCATTCTTTGAACGTTTCTCGTAGCACTCATTAGACATTGGCTTCCTGTAGATAGCAATACCCACACCATTAACTTTATCCTTGGTGATGGACACAACTTCCCAGCACATAGCTTTCGTTAGTGCTTTCATGGCTGCAAATGAATGCATTAAACTTATCAGTTAATATGTGCTAAAATTTAAATGAATAAAGGATGTAAACGTAAGTTTTATACCACCTACCATTCCAAATTCCAACATCTTCAGCAAGCTTCTGATAAATAGGAGTAGCAGACCATACAAAGAAACCACCAGGTCGCAATAATCGATTTAGCTCCAACAGAAGTTTACCACCTGCAGCAGTACAAATTGATAAACGTCCCAAAAAATTCCTGTTGTCTTTTGCATTGAATTCGTGTCATTACTATCTATACAAGTTATCTTAAAATCACAATGCCTAAAAAGGGGCATGAATTTTTTAAAGCATAAATGCTAAACAAAACTAGTATTCGTTTGCCATACAAAACACATACATATTAACATGCATTGTCTAATCAGCACCATAAAAGTTTGGGCATTTAAGTACCTTCTATATGCCAAGGAACTCTGCATCTAGCACAATGGACAATATCAAATACTCTCCCAGGGTAGGGAAGCCTCTGTGTGCCCATCACAGCAGATATAGCAGGAATTCCCCTTTCAAGTGCAAATTGTACTTGAGCTTCATGTTCGTCTTTAGGAGCAAGAGACATAGTAAGTACGTCCCTATCAAAGAGAAATCCTCCAAAGCTGGCAACACCACATCCAACATCCAGCACCAAGCGTGAGCGTTTTCCCCAAGCGATATCAGGTACAGACTGCATCAACAAGATTCTGTAGTTTAAGAAAAATGACCAAGAAATTCATGGTCTACAAAATAGATGGAGACAAAAAAATGCCAACACTTGACAGAGTATGTGATGGTTAACTAGTTTATGGGAAAGTTTAATATATCTAAAATGGTGGATAGATGCTTAAAGCAAACGTCATCCAAATATAAACTTACAGAAATATTAACATCAAGATGAACTGTTAATGTCAATACCAACAAGATATTGGAAAATATATACTACCTCTTGTATAAAGTCAATGTAATGAAGTGCCCCATGCTTAAATTGGGTTCCACCACCCGGAAAAGTGAGGTACTCGCCAGTTACTTTCACCCAATTTTGGTGACCCTTGACTTCAGCAAGCTTAGCGTGAGGAACATTGGAATACCATATCTGCAAGAGAAAAATTTATTATTTTATGGAAGAATAAATTTTCAAACACTAAATGACAATTTACAAGCATTGTCAGTCTATTTCTACCTTCTCTCTGCTTTTAGGCCACTCAATAGAGCGTTTATATCCTTCAGGAAGAGGAACCAGGCAGGTGGGAGGCTCTTCAGGACAGTGCCTCTCTCGATGTTCATAGTGCTTAGTGCTTCGAAGACTCTTAATTGCTTTCAAATTGTCCAGACATGGAATGTAATCAGGGCCAGCAGTAACTTCACAAACTTTCCAATTGTACCCGGCTGGCTGTCTAGAGGATTCTTGAGCCTCCTTTTCATTCTTTGACTCTGATGCCTGAGTTGAGAAGGACCCAGTTTGAGTGGTAGTTTCATTTAGAAGCTCTGACTGAGCTCCAGAAGGGTATACCTCATTCGAACTTTGGTTTTTTGCATTCTCATCTGTATTCTTCTCACCAGAGTTTTCGTCAGATCCTTCGCTATCATTCCCTTCCACCTTCTCCTCTATCTTACTATCTTTTGTTTCACTTGCATCATCTGATTTCTTCTCACTTTCACCTGAATCAGAGTTTTTGTCATCATCTGACTCAGATTTTTTCTCATTCTCATCAGAATCAGGTTTCTTCTCAGGTGAAGTTTCTTCAACCTCTCCTTTATTGGAAGTTTCATTACTGTCTTCATTTTTCTCTGAGGCTTCAGGGTTTGATTCTGAATTTTCTATCTTGGAATCTGTGTCTCCTGTTCTTTGATCTCCATCTTCTTTCCTGGTATCTTCAGAAGACTTCTCCTCTTTCTTCTCTTGGTTTTCTGACAACTTATCATTGTTATCAGGGTTGACGTTACCATCCCCCTTGGTTGCATCCTCAGGCAAATCACCTGGATTATCTTCAAATTGCCGTGTATTCCCTTCATTACTTTCACTCACGTGTTCTTTCAACCCACTCTGTTCTTTCATGTCCTGTTCTTTGATTTCATTCTTGTTCTCCTGAGACACATCCATGTTTTGGACAGGAACTACGGAGGATGATGTCATCATCCAGACCCCAACTAAGCATAGGGCAACAAACACAACAATAGTCACTGTGGAACAGTAACTCGAACCTGATCTTCTATTATCTATTCTAGTGTATTTCCCGATTGCCATTGTGTTGGACTGCAGTAGTTCTTCACAAGTAGTTTAGACCTGGACAAGAACAAAACAGCAATGAAATACGTCTCACAATTTATATCAACAAAGCCAACACTCAGTTGCCATTATCTACCCAGTCAGTTGACACAGATGCATGAAATGAGTTCAAATATTCCCCAAATTTTCTTGTGCAAAGACTAGTATGAAAATTAAAGACAGAAATTCACTAAATTTTGGATGAGTAGAAACCGCGTTCAACTAATATTTAATTAATGGAAGTTCTACATATATGTTTTTTTCTAAAATAAAATAAAAATATAAGGTTGGACTGGGGTAAAATTATACGTGAGCGAGAGGATCAGAAGGTATCAATGATCATTTGGCATCTCAGTGATTGAAATTCAACGGAGACTCGTCAAGGTAATGCCAAGCAAATCATCACAGTGGGAATATGACATATTTTAAAGATGCAAGAACTTTCAAAGCATACAAAACTGGCTACCCGGTGCCTTTGCGGTTGACAGCTGTGCGCCAAACAGTGAAGGCAAGCAGTACGCAGAAATAAAAGAAAAGTATACAAATAAATTACATGGCGAAGTCCACGATGATTACACAGATCTACATAATCCAAAACACATTCATAAAGAATAACAATTCATACAGCTGCATCAACAATCATTGACAGATTTGCAAAAGAAGATCAAGAAGAACAGAAGCTCACGTACGAGCACAGCACATATCAAGAGAAAACGGAAAAAAAGACACAAGAAAAAAGAAAATAAGTTAAAATCACGCGTTTAAATGAAAGATTTGAACGGAACAGGAAAAATAAATGGACGAATCCGAGAAGAAGGTGAATGCATAACTAGATCTGAGACGCGGAAAAAAGATTCGACGTACCTTTCTTTAGCAGATCTGAGTAGGAGAACAGAAGATCGTCACTCCATTGTTAGCAGAAAGATGAAAGAAGAATAAGAAATGACAGCTGCGTTAAAGCGAGTGTGAGACGAGGAAGGTGAGGGAAGCTAGAGATTATATAGAAGAAGAGAGAGAGATGAGAGGGACGGACATGGGAATAAGGCAATTTGGTCGCTAGCGATTCAATGTCTACAGGATTTGCTGAAAGAATAATAAAATACTGATGAGAGAGAAACAAGTGAGAGGTGAAAATGAAACGATGATCGATGAGTGAGAAAGCAGGGGACGACGAGCGCAGCTAAAAACAGAGTCGGTGAACGAGTTACCGCTACGGGGAATCCGTGAAACCGGTTTGGAATTGTGATCGATAAAAATGCTTCGCCAGCTCAGCAAATTCAAGAAACATAAATAGTTTCTTTTCAAGGAAAATTACATCAGGGTCTCAGATTTTATTTCATAAATTTTGACTTCAAATTTAAAACTGGATAGAATTATTAAGTTGTATACTAAAAAGTTACTATTAATTACATTGCAATAATACTTTATATATAATATATAAAAATCTAATAAACCATACTACTAATTATGACCTTAAATTAAGTAGTCTAACTCGCTTTTTAAATTAAAATTGTAGAAAATATAAAACCAAGACCAATTTTAATTAATTTCTAATAATAATCAATTACATGTTAGTAATGTTTAAGCTTATTGCATATGAGGGGGACGTACTTATATACAATGTAAAGGGGTAAAGGGGGCAAGTGCCCTTGCAAAAGGATTTCATTTTTCTCAATTTTACATTTATAGTATATATAAATGATCATCAATATTTACTACTATTAATTTTACTGTTCTCATAAAATGTGTGTGTGTTTATTTTGCCCCACATTCTAAAATTGTTGGATCCATCACTCTCATGTTCATATGGCATGCCAGGGTTTGGACGGGCGCAAGTTGATTCGTTTTGTTCGTCCCTGGCATTGTCTTCATTGAAAGAAGCAAAAGAACTTCCTTGGCCCAAAAAAAAGAAAGAAACAAAAGAACACTAGCGATTCGATTTACCAACTATACATAATCCCAATTTCCAGGTTCGTGAGATGTGAGTATGTTAATTTCCGTTTTACATGTTACCTGATTAGCATTTTACCGTTCTGCCTAACAGCAGTCAAAACTTAAAACCGTTACAAAGGCACATTCTTTTGTGGACTTTTTGAATTGTTATAATGTTATATTACCCATGCTAAGACCGTTGAAATTGTGAGATCTTATTAGTCAAAACTAATATTAGTATGCTTTTTAATGTAAGCCATTTTAAAGTATTCCACAAAAAAGTTTGTTAACAGTACGTACATTTTTAACATGAAATTATTTTTAGTTTCATCGTTGCCCTTGATGAGTAAATCAAATTCAAAAAACATATACTCTTTTTAACCCCCTTATTATTGAAAACTGATAGTTAGAGCATTTTTTAAAATATTATGAGTAATCTCTTAAATTCTTACGAGGTGATTTACATTAATTTAGATTATAAAATTATTTTGCAAAGGCAACTAATATAAAAGACTAAATTAAAGGGAGCATATAAAAAATTGAGACGTGGGCTTGATTCCAATGCTAAAACTTTCATTTCCAGCAATGAATGGAGATTTAAAAACATGTACTCCCTCCTATTATATTTATAAGGCATGAAATTAAATATAACGATTTTGTGGACATATTTATAAAATATGTTATTGGCTTTTTATTACAAGTTTTTTTCTTTTATTCTAATCAAATGTTAATGAGAGAAAGTATATTATTAAATTATATATATTTAACAAGGGTAAAAATGAAAATATATGTAAATGTTAATAATTAATTTCAATAAAAGGAACTAATTAATCGATAAGACAAGAGGAGGCATGCAGTTTGAATAGCTCTTGTACCTAAACTGAATAGCAATTTCAAATTTTAAATTTTTTTTATACCTTAATTATTTAAAATTTTAGCTCCTCTAGCTTTCTTGTTTTATTCATATTTTTATTATCAGTGTTTTTATTACTCTTGTTTTTCTCTTATTTCTCATTCTCACCTATATCGTTGACTGAAAAATAAACACAAGTTCATCACTTTCAATTTTCTTTTTACTTTGAACATTAACTCATTTTTCTTATTCATTTGAAATTTGTTACATTATTTGGATAATAACTTCATCAATTTAAAATGTAATATTTTTAATGTCAAATTTTAAAATTAAAATTAAAAATCAAATCCAAAGCTACTTAAAATAATTATTTTTATTATTATTATTTTTTTAAAGTAGTCCCTATGCAGACCATGGCGTTGAAGAGAGTCCATCCTGGAGTAGATATTCCTGGAAAAAGACGTATCTTAAACAATACTCAAGGAATCACAACAAATAACAGAAGAAAATGTACCTATTAAATGAGCTTCAACATGCAGTGGCCAATGATGACCTATGGTAAAGTAACTTTCCAGAAGGTGAAATTAACAGCCAGGTGCGTGCATGGAAAAAAGAGAGAGAGAGAGAGAGAGAGAGAGAGAGAGAGAGAGAGAGAGAGAGAGAGAGAGCCTCACCATTTCTTGCTTTTAATTAATTAATCATGTGCATTGCACTTTTAGATCCAAACACATAGGATCCAGGGAAAATGCTGATGTGCAGAAAACAACACACAGAAAAGAGAACATTTTTTTTGCTTATATAATAAAACAACATACTACTCTGTTTTTATTTATAAAAAAAATATTATTTTTATTTATTTTTATATAAGTAAAATTACATATTTTAATAAGTATTTATTACATATTTTCTAAATGGCCTCTTATAATTTACATTAATAAAAAATAATTAATACATATTTATATTGATTAATATAGGGTATTTTAGTTCAAATTTTTTATTTTTAAATATAATTATTATAATTAATTAACTTTCTTAAATTGAATAATACAGTTTTTTCTCTTATATATAAAATGAACAGATTACATAAAAGAGAACATTAATTTTGAAACAGTGCCTCGTCATCTCTCTCTTTTTTCCCCCTTCCCTCCGTTTGTGCCACAAAACGTGGAAGAAAACCAAATTCAATGTATATAGAAAATCAGATAGTGATCTGTAGTTTTTTTTTTTTTTTTCCATAAACGCAAGAACACGACTTTTCCGTCAATGTGTGTTATTCTAAGTAGCTGTTTTGTATACACTTACACAGAGTTCATGTCTAGGTACACTTCTTATATATGTTACGTAAATAATTTTGATTCTGGTTGAAAAATTTTATATATATACTGGCTAAACACACACACACATTTAGCACTGGCCGTGCAAATGTCGGTGGCGGCATGAGTTGAGTGATTGTATAGAATACGCGAAAACCATACCTGGCCCACCACCATGTGTTACCCTGCGGCAGTTCCGCCTCCAAGCGCCACCTATTCTTATTTGAAAAGGAAAAGGAAGAAAAAAAGAAATTGAAGAAAAATAAACGGAAAAAATATGATAAAAACGTAATTTCACTTATATCATAGTATGTCCATTACATTCAAGAGTAAGTTTAGTTTACTTGAAAATAGCAAAAGATGAAATTATTAAAAAAAATACATTTCTTGACATTTTATTTTCATTCGTTCGTATTACATGTGAATGTCCCATCTCCCACGTAAAAAACACAAAAAAAAGTGAATAATTGATCTATTGATTCCATGGATCATGAAAATTAGACAATGTATGAGAAATTTCTGCATGAAACCCATACATTATATTATTCATATTCTATCTAATAAAAATTATAACATATTAGGTAGTTGTAAATATAAAGTATTTTTGCTATTGATGATGATAGAAAAAAAAATACAATATGTTGAAGAGATACCAAATTCTAAAAACAAAGTCATAAAAATAATGACACGTGATATTTTGTTTAATTAAACTGCTACAATTTGACATATTTTTATTGACTAGGGCATGGATGGCATGAGATACTGGGTTCATGAGACAACCATGATTATTTGATTAGTTACTGTATTTATGAGCTCATAAGTAATGACTTCTATTTTACATAAAATTTAAAAAGAAAAATATAACTAATTAAAAAGAATTAGACCTTAATTAGACCTGTAATTTCTCTTCAATTAAAAGCATTAATTTTATTTTAATTAAATAATGGTAATGCAATTCAATTTATGTAGGAATGGTTCAGCCAAAAATTTGGTATTGAAACACATTCACAAAAAATTCTGGTCTTCGAAAGATTTGATTCCTTATAATTGTATCCCTTTGTTGTCCCTCTCTCCAGTGAGCGGTGGATTTTTAGATGGAATTGAAAAATACACTCTTGCCATGGTTTAAAAATCAATAATTTTATATACTTTCTTCAATCCTATTTATAAGACAGAAAAAATAAATTTTTTGCCCCTATTTAAGTTACATCATTAAACTTTCATAATAAATTTATCATTTCACTCTCCATTAAATATTACAAAATAAAATATATTATTAGTACATATATATATATATATAATAAAAATAAATTTAAAAATTTATTAAATTTTTAGATAGAGTTAACAAAATTTTAAATTTTTTTAATTTTGATAAAACATGTTAAAAGTAATTTATAAATAAAATTAAAAAATAATAAAAAAAAAGTTATTGTTTTTACATATCATTTCAAAGAGACCTAGTGGGTTGCGAGAATTATGGAAAATAGCCAACAATGTGTTGACGTTTTGTCTCGGTACTTTGACTGAGAAGAGGAGTGCAAAATCAACCAAACAACCGACAAAGCTAGTGGTCAAGGCTCTATGTGCCATACATCTTCGTTAGGATTCACCGCACTGTATTATTCTCCAAAGTAGCAACGAAATATTGCACAAACACTTAAAACAAGATTAACTAAAAGTCAATCGTTGTGTCTTTTTTCTTAATAAAAAAAAATCCGTCATATTAAAACAAGATTAACTAAAAGTCAATCGTTGTGTCTTTTTTCTTAATAAATAAAAAAAATCCGTCATATTTCATTTCGTGAGTGTGTTAGCGTGATTCAACATGGCAACTCCTCGCAATAGCATCTAAATCGTGCCGGCCTCGACGCTTGACTTATCCCAGCCAGATATCACGCTTCCAGCAAGTAATTAATTTTTTATAGACAAAAAGGGCTGAATTTCAAATCAGCACATGTTCAAAGACTTGGACGCGGTTTGGGTAATTAGCTTTTCACATTCTAAAAGTATTTTTTTCTTTTACTTTTAAAATGTAAAAAATTATTTAAAATAATTTTATGAGAACAAGTGTAATTTTTAAAAGAACTTTTCAATCTCATTGGGACGTGAAATTTTAAAAGTTTTATTGAATAGCTTTTGAAATAAAAATGTAAATATAAAGTATCAAATATGAGTATTTAATTCTATATTTGACCATGACACCCTCAATTATTTTTTCATTCTCATCGTGTAACCAAGCCTAGTGTCTTCATTAATTCATTCCTATCTGGCTATCTCTACTCGAGCTCCTCATTTTTTATTAGACTTGGATTTCTTCAAAGACTTGGCTTTTTCACCTACATACCCAAATATTAATCTCAGACGAAAAGAAAAATAAAAATACTAGTGAACATATCAAAACATACGAGTCTCACAAATGAAAATAAAGAAAAAAAGAACAAAACATCATAAGAGTCCGTCGAATTCGAGAATCAGGTGATTCCTGTGACCGACATTGGAGAAGGAGCTACCTTGCTTAGACGACATGGTTTGCGATGTACGGCTAGGGTTCGGTCCAAATCCAAAAGCAAGTAAACTTTTCTTAAGCCTTGTGACCTTACCCCCCCCCCCCAACAATGGCCTCTTGTGAATTCTGCCAATCATAAAAGGCAAAAGCAAGAGCCCCTTTCTTATTAGTATAAAATAAATCAAATACATAGATAGTAAAATGATTACATAATTCATTCCAATATTAAACTTTATATTTTAACCCTTACAATTTTTTAACATTACATTTATATAATAAAAATTATCAATTATTATAAATCAATATCTTTTTTAATCATTGTATATTTAAAAGTATAAATCATTATTAATCCAAACAACTTTTAATTTATCAAACTAATTTTTTTTTAAAATGTATTCAAATATAAATCTTGTTACAACAACTAACTTTCACTAAATTAATTTTTGTTAAATAAACTTTTAGCAAACTGATTTTTGATGAACTAAAAACCAACAACACACTTATAGAATATTTATAAGAGTATTTACAGATTGCTTGCTAACAAGATACTTGGATAATAAATCAAACCCTTACTAACTAGACAAACTTTTATTAATCTATGGCACACGATTTTAAAAGGGGAGAATTATATATGATTTTTTATGAAGAAACTAATTATTTGTAAGTCAAATCCACGTGTAAATATTGATGGTAATTCTTTCTTTTTAATGCATGTGATATGGTTTATATGACCATAACAATTGATATTAGCACGAAAAAAAAAAAAACAATTGATATTAGCAACGACGGATCCACAGCGTAATTCATTGGGTGTCCAGAAAGAAAAAATTCATGGAAGTGGGGAGCCAAATTTTTTTTTAAGTAAAAATAATAAAGATAATTTGTAGCCTGAGGGCAAACCCCCTAGATCTGTCATTGGATCCTAGTAAATAAACTATAACTGGTTAAGCATAATGATTTGTATTCGGCTTTATGTAAATATAATAATTACTTTTAAAAGAATTTTCTTTAATTGGACTCATTAATACTTGAATCATGGTTAAACTTTGGATTTTTTTTAAAAAAATTAGTTATAAGCATCAAACATGATAAGCCTAGGAAAAACAATTGTATAAAATTAAAAATAGTCAATATATTCTAACCAAAAAAAAAGCCAATGAGTATTAACTATGTAATCAAAATTAAAAGGCTAAAACATATTCTTAGTCTTCTAACTTTATATAAAGACTGAATTTAATTTTATAATTCTAAAAAGTATATTTTCAATCATCTAATTCTAACATTGTTAGTTTTAAATTATTAATTTTTGTGTCAATTATTATTTTTTAAAAATTAAACTTAATATGTTAATATTTAAAAATATTTTATCAATATTTAAATTTAATGTATCTTTTTTTTGTGATAAAATTAATTATGTTGGAATTAAATGGCATAAAAGATACTTTATAAAATTAAGGGACTAAAATAAAATATTGTGTAAAGTAAAAAAATTAAACGTATACTTTAGCTAAATTAAAATTAAAGGTACCAATATACTTTCTTTATCCCAAATTATAAGATATTTTTAGTTTCAAACAAAATTTTAGGTGCCAATAAGTAAATAAATCTTATTAAACATATTTAAAAATATTATTTTTAAAATAAAAATATAATTTAAAAAAATATCATTAATTTAATATATTAAAAAAAAGAAAAATATAAATTAAATAGAAAAAGAAAGGATAATATTAAGATATATTTATTTAATAAAATCTTAGTATTTTTTTTAAAAAATATTTTATATTTTAAAATATTTAAAGTGTTTTATAATTTAAGGTGGAAGATAGTATATTTATCTTATTTTTATTCTTTTTGATTTTGGATCATTAACCAAACCAGATCTGTTTCCCGTGTAATATTTAAAAGATAAAAATATATATTTATATATATTTAAATTAAAAAAATTTAGTATATTCATAATTTATTATTTTATGTAGATTAAAATTAAATAAAACTTATTCTATTTTAAAATTTGTTGTGCACGTGCATATTACAAATATAAATAATAATTTATTTTAATTAGAAAGTGTTGTCTAGTGTAAATTACAATTAAAGAAAATCTATTTTACAATGCATTATCTTTATACATATTAAAAATATAAATAAAAATATATAAAAATTAATCTTATAGTTTCTTTAAATTCTAAGATAAGTTTTTATAGTTTATTTTATGTGAATTAAACTCTTTATAATTTGATATATGTTAGGGAGAATGGCTGAGAGGTTTTAAAAAGATCAATTAATTTAAGTTATGTTTTAAGTGTTAAATTTCAAAAATTTACAATTTAATTTCTTAATTTTGTAATTGCCTTGTGATAAATTTATAATTTATATTTTAAATTTTAACGAAAAAATATTTTTAATTATACAAATAATTAAATTAGTTATAAAGTTATATAATGATTTAATAAAATATAAAAGTTTTAAATTTTATTTTTTAAGAAAATGTCAAGGATTTTAACATTCATGGATTAACAAATCTACGGATCAAACTGTGAGTTTTCAATTGAAACAAAATAAACTATAAGAATGTGATTTAAAATTAAATAAAATTATAAGGTTTTGCAAATTAATTTTTTAAAAATACAAGAAATAAATGATAAATGATAAATCTTTTACATTTATAAAAAAATTAGATCTCCTATAAATTATTTTTTATGAGTCTCATATTTATAAATATTTTTTACTCTGGATCCCACACCTATTTTTTTTTTTTAATTTTTGAACCTGTGTTCTGTATAAACTTTTATCATACAAAAATCAGGGAAGAAAAAAAGAAAAATACTATGGAACTGTTCACTCGCAATTAACTGTAGATTATACACTTTACAATATATATTGATTAATTAACAAAATCGATGCGGCACCGCAAACCTTTGAAGTTTTACCAATAATCAAACGCCACGCCACTAGATTCCGGGAAGCCGTGGTCGTTTCTAGTTCCTAAAATAACCTCCCTTCATTCGCTGTGTGACGAAATATACCCCATCTTTTGGAAATTGGCATCTCCTCTGAACTCCCAGGTGGTGCTATGTTCGCGCGTTAAGAGGACAGTACTTGTCAACAAAAACGATCTCTTTTTCGCTCAACTCTTTCCCCTCTTGATACAAATCGGATCTGCGACTGTGATAGCCGATTCACCCCAATCAAGCCACACAAGGAATTTGAGAGGCGGCTCCGTATTTTTTTTTTTTTGGTTTTGCTTGTCCACAGTTGCTTGTCCACACAAAGATTTCTTTTTACGAGCAATTTCGTTTGAAATTTAGCTTTTGTTCGCCCCAGACTGTTGCGGCTGAATGCATTGATGCTCAGGGTTCTTACATGCAACTGCCCAACTTTTCTGGTAAATTCTGAGGAAAATTGGGACTGATGTTTCCAATTTCCCTGGGTACCTGGTGTCTGCACTGTAATCATTTAAAGTTCCTTCTCCAGAAGATCCTCTGAGATCTGTAAGTATATTTACAATGCGACTTTCTATATTTTAAAATTACTATAACATGTCCCAGTTACAACTTGCATTAGAACATATTAAAAAGTTATCATTGCCTCAGTATCAGAAGCAATGAGTGTTGCATTATGAATGTTATGAATATGTTGAATAAGTCTGTCAGATTCTTGGAACATTCGGAGTTCTTGTTATAGCAACATAACTTATGAAGTCTGAACTGTTAAACACGGTGATTTTTTTATATATCGTCATCTAGTTGTGCTAAGCTCGATTTTGTTTTTGTATTGGAGAATGGATGCTTGTGAACCTTTGCTGGCATTAAAGTGTAATTCCGTTCAACTCAATAGATAAGACAGCATGGAATCTTATTGTTTTGGATGATGATTAGAGGTCTGCCTGAATTCTGAAGTATGATGATGGGCATGTTTAAGTGGAGGGTGAATTATTTTGGTCAAATATCGGAAGGGGTTGCTAAACATGCATTTTCTAAGTCTATGGTCACGCTTCACACCACTCCTTCCATGGTCTAGATTTATCTGTTCTGGCAACCAGTGGGGTCTTAAGGTTCATAGCATTTTAGAAAAAATAAATTGAATTTCTAAAATCTAATTATTATGGTGCTAATTGTAAAACAATTTTTTTTAATATCGACACTTCAGGAATATGGTTGTATGCACTTATTGATGTGAACACAGTAATGTCCAAATACAGAGAAATGTACTTTGTTATGACTGCAGCTTCATTAGTTCCAGTGTATTTACATGGTATTCTTCATACACTTCCATATGTTTTTCCGACCCTTCTCTTCTTATCTTCTCTCCATACAGATAAACCTCCATAACAACAATAATTGTATTATGTGCTGGATATTTTCTGGATTTGCTGACCAAGCCAAATATTTGTATCTTTCTGTAGCCTATAAGCAGTGATGAAAGGAGGGCACGTGCATGGCTTGAGAGGCTGGCATTTTTTTGTAGCCCTTGTTTCTCTTGTCCTAATGACCATATTACTGTGGACATGGGAGAATAATCCACTAGCTATAACTTTAGATTCAGCTCATGAGTGGTATCGCAAACCTTTATCAGGTATGCCTCCTTTATGGTTTTTATATGTAAATAATGACGTGTGGTTTTTTGGGATTGGATGAGGCAGGAATGCGATGTCATCTAGACCATTCATGTTTTAATCCAACCACTGATTGCCAAAACTTTAGGTGGAAGAAAATTCAATATTGTAGATTTACTTCAACACACCCCCCCAAAAAAATAATAATTATAATTAAGAGGAATGAGATGTTTAATCAGCAAAACCTGAAAGAAAACATAAACCTCCCTCTCCCCATGCCTTCAAATATCACTTTGACTAGCTGCTTGTTAAATTCTTCTAAAATAGAGCAGGAGGGAGAGAGGGGAAAAGAGTATTCTTTTAAGATAAAGAAATAGTAACTCTTCCTTGTGGACAAGATCCATCAGATGAACATAATATAGTATTCTTATGGGTACAGGAAGATGAAACTGGACTGGTTGTAAGTATGTGTCTGGTATATTGGATGAAACACCTGAAAATTTTAACTTTGTGCCTGGACTTGGGTAGCTGTGTTGGTTATGCTGGAATACCATCTTACTGGATGTGCTTCTTCAACTTTACAGGAATTTAGGGACTCCATATAGAAAACACTAATCCGTAATTAACAGTGAACAAGATTGGATTTACATTTGCGGTTCTTGCATCTCTTGTAGATTTTTATTGTCATTATTCCATTGCCTGTTAACTAACTTTTATTGTCACTTGTAGTTGTTTCTGTATTTCATGTTTATATTTCTGTCTTCATCCTCTTCCAAACCTGCACCTTTTGGATTCAATTGTGCTGTTTTTCTCCTTTCCTCTAAGGAGTGCTTGTGGAAGCCCCAAATAATTCAATGGGAGATCTAAATCTGACAAAAAGTGAGGAGATATCTTTAAATACTAGCGCAGAAAATGAAACAAAGGTGCCACTTAACTATGGGGATGCAGTTCCTGTACATTCTGCCCCTTCAAAATCTCCTGAAATACAATATAGTCAGGGTGTCAGGTCCTCTTCAGGAAGAAAAGGTATGTTTTTAGTATTCTTTTTCAAAATTAGAAATTGTAGTGAAACATTTTTCCTCCTGTATGAATGTGTTGTTGATATTATTATTACTACTTTGGAATTACATATTTTAGCGATTTTTTTTTTTCTGTAGTTCTACAATTGGTCCTGACTTTGAATCTCATAACTCGTTATTCTACTGGAATATATGGTCGTTTGCCTTTTCTTTTTTTGATGCAAAATGAAATAGTCGTTTGCCTTTTCCTTTCCCTCACTCATTTTGTGCAATACATATCATTCCCTCCATCATGCGTACTTTCTTTACATCTTTGTCAATGATCTGCATGAATCTAATATGGAGAGCCTTTCTTATGCAACCCCAAGTCTGATAGTTGCATTCTGATCTGGATTTTATTGATTTTGCTGAATTTTTTTAAATGTTGGAAAATTGAAGGGAAAGCTCTTGATAAGAGAAGATCCTTGTCCACACTATTTAGTAACATGTTCATTGTTATAGCCCATTCTATCTGTATCATTTTTCCTTCGTATGACAGTAATAGGCAATCGTTTAAAAAGTAGACTTATATGTGGCTGGTGGCCAGCACTTACCAGATTGAGCCCTAAGAAATTAGAATGCTATTCTGATGATTATGCTTAAAGTTCCACTTTGTGATTGCATATCCTCAACACTTTAATCTTCAAGTAAATTAATTGGCTGGATTTAGTTTACTGGTTTCATCTAAATGGAGATTCTCTGTCTCCATTTATACAAGAGTTGATGTATTCTTGTATTTTCAGTCTGTAATTATGCAAAGGGTAGATGGGTTGCAGACAAGAGGAGACCATTATATTCTGGATTTGGCTGCAAAAAGTGGTTATCCCAAATGTGGTCGTGTAGAATGACGCCACGACCAGATTTCTCTTTCGAGGGATACCGTTGGCAGCCAGAAAATTGTGACATGCCTGAGTTTGACCGGTCTGCATTTTTGAGAAAGTAGGTATATTCCTTTCTTTTTTACCTGATCTAGTTGTGAATGTATATTACAACATTATTATTTGGTTGTTTCATTTATTCATTGTTTTGCTTGTAAAGTTTAGCAAAGTTTTTTTTCAAATTTGAAACGAAGAACTTGCTTTGTCCTATATATCACTTTTGACATACTGAGCTTCGTTTTAAGTTGCCTGTTAATTTTTATATATTTTTACTGGCAGCTTATTAAAGTTTGGACTGAATTGACATTTTGGCTATGTGAAGATTTACTTTGTGTCAATTTTATCTCCCAAAGTTTGAATCTCTCATTCTAGTCCTTCAAAAAGTTTTTCATCTTCATTTCGGCCTCACATTAAGCCTGTTAACATATATGAGTGATATAGTGTAATCTCAATCTAATATAGCCTTTGATGGTATAAAAAAAAAATAATAATATAGCCTTAAAGTGCCCAATTATATTGAAAATTTCATGACAGAACACCAAAATAATATTGGTGTCATGGCTGCTTCAAATATATGATGCTTTATTATGCATGTTTTAGATATAGTTGGCATCACACTTTGGTTGGTTTTGGGGGAGGGGAGGGGAGGGAGAGTGAGGAATTCCTCCCAATCCCACCAATATGGAGGGGAAGGTTTGGAGGGGAGGGGAGCTTAATGACTTCGTCAACTTTTATGTCAGGCTATATCACACATGATAGAAACTTTTGATGAGCTTAACTTTGAGGAACCTGAAGGTGAAATATACTTTGAAGCACTGCAATGAGATAGCTAAACTCTGAAAAGTCAAATTGAGGGGTCAGAGTTCCTAGCCTCCCCAGTTATTTTGATTCTTTGGTGCAAAAGCTTAACTTTCTTTTTGAACATCAAATGAAAAGAATTTAGATAGTGGTTGTGAATGGTCTTTAATTTGAAGTGGAATCTAGGATGCAGGACAAAACAATAGCATTTGTAGGAGATTCATTGGGCCGGCAACAATTTCAATCTCTGATGTGTATGGCCACCAGTGGTGAAGAGAGCCCCGAAGTTGAAGACATTGGACGGCAATATGGTCTTGTAAAACGCCGTGGTGCTATTCGTCCTGATGGCTGGGCTTACAGATTCCCAAAGACCAACACCACAATCTTGTACTATTGGTCAGCTAGCTTATGTTATCTAGAGCCCCTTAACATAAAAGATCCACTCACCAATGTTGCCATGCACTTAGACCGTCCGGCTGCATTTCTGAGAAAGTTTCTTCATCGTTTCAATGTCTTAATTCTTAACACGGGGCACCATTGGAACCGGGGGAAACTTAATGCAAACCGGTGGATTATGTATGTAAATGGGAAGCCTAATGAAGACAAAAGGCTTGCAGTAATTAGTAAGGCCAAGAACTTTACAACCTATAGTGTAGCCAGATGGGTGGATTCACAACTTAAGTCCCATCCCCAACTCAAAGCATTCTTTAGGACTATATCACCGAGGCATTTCACCAATGGGGATTGGAACACTGGAGGTAGCTGTGATAATACCATCCCTTTGTCTGGAGGAAGTAAGGTTGTACAAGATGGATCTAGTGATCTATCTGTTGAGGGTGCACTAAGGGGCACGAAGATTAAGATGCTGGATATAACTGCTCTTTCTCAATTGAGGGATGAGGCTCACATGTCTCGCTACACAGTTCGAGGAACTCAAAACGCAAGTGATTGTTTGCATTGGTGCCTGCCTGGAGTTCCAGATACTTGGAATGAACTCCTTGTTTCTCAGATATAGTCTTCCAAAGTGCAATTAGAAGAAGACACAGGCTGACACAAGCAGAAGCCATCCATTCTTTGTGGTCTTGGATGACCGATTATTATTTGCTGTTATTGTATTTTATGTAATACTTTCTCGGTGGATAAGAATATAGGCAGAGCATGTAATTCCAATCTATGTCTCATTTTTAGAGTGGGCAAATAGATCGATTCGGGGTAGATTCAAACTACAGTGCTGAGAGCATATGTGTCTACTTCATCTTATTCAGCAATTCGAGGCTATGTTGTATCAATGTGTTGTTTATGGAGTCAATAGGAAAGGAAATAAAATTCCTCGATCTTTTCATGTTTGGTGCTTTGCTGTTTTGCATGAGTAACAGGACCTAGAGAAAATTTCAAAGTTTAGGGAATTATTTGTATAGAATTCAAAGTTTTAGAGGGTTATTTATACATAATAATAAAGTTTAAAAAGTTACAGGGTCAATTAAATGTTATACCATGTACTCCATGTGTCTCAAATTATAAGACACTTTTAAATAAAATTTTATATATCAATAAATCTCATTAAATAAATTTAACAATCTTTTCTTTTTAAAACAAAAATATAAACTTTTAAAAATACTTATCATTTAATATATTGAAAAAAGAAGAGGCAGAAATTAATCATAAAGAGAGAAAGGATAATATTGAAATTATTGCATTTAATGAAATCTTAATTTATCCAAAGTGTTTTATATTTTGAGATGAAAAAATTTCTTCAAAGTGTTTTATAATTTGGGATGGAGTGAGTATTATGGTGTTCAGTTTTGGTGCTCATCGCTTTGCATATAATTTTTTGATAAGCAGCAGAAATTGTTATTAAACAAGATAATTTACAGAAGGAAAATAAGAAAGAAAAGCACCTAGGTCTTTTTTGCAATAGTTCCAAATACCATGGTCCTTTTAATTATCCCCTAAGGAAATGTAAATAGCTAGGTTTAAGTAACCGAATTCACAAAAGGGAATGAACAAACAGAAGTGATGAAAATTTGCCGAAAAATAAAACAAAATGCCTGATGCAGAGCATGTCACTGTATCGGAAGCTTCTCTTGACGTCTTGGAAAATGTTGCCTCCAAAAATGCACCAATCTTTTATTCCAGATGATCACAATCCTCGACTCGCTAGTAGTATTTGTTTGTCTGAAAGAATCAAACTGTATGATCCAACAAATTGTCGACCCATGCAAATATCTATTTGTCCCAAACGTTGACGGTAAAGTCCAATTCCAGTTACTTTGTGTAACTTGTTCTCCTTTGTGATGATCGAGAGAATAATTAAAATTTTGCTCGACTTAATGCCTGAGTAAAAACTTGTATTGAATACTTGTTGGGAGAGTTTCGCTACTAATATGATCATCGGCTCGACCCATGAATAATAAATAATTGTATTATAAAAAAAACTTCATTTGGTGAACACGCTTTCCCTGCAAAACAAAACTGATTTCGAGAATCATAGAATATCTAAAATGTAAAACGGCAAAAGCATATAATGTTTTTCTTAAATCACAAAGTTTATACTTAATATGATTGAAAAATAATATTTAAGCAAATTCATTCTTCCAAAAAGGGAAGATGTTGTCACTTTTATGGAGGGACTTGGTTTCCCGCTTCTGCCAATATTTTCTCCTATTTTTCATATCATTGGATCCCAATTTTAATGGTTGAGATTTAATGTATTATAAAATTTTTATTATAATATTAAATAATAAACATATAAATAAATTTAAAATGATGCAGTTTAATCTTAACAGTTTAGAACTGTAATAAAAAAATTATATTATAATATTTTTTTATTTTTTAACCGTAATTTTAAATTATTCAAGTCTAATTTTAACAGTTTAAATTTATTTATTAATATTTAACAGTATAATAATTTTATAATAAAATAAATATCAACCATGTTTACTGTCCTAATCTTCAGCTCAAAAAACAAAAATGCGCCGATTTTGAGATGTAAGACCTGGGTCCAACTAACTATCAACATCAGAGTAATTAAGTATGAAAATTGGATTTCTTAATTGAGTTAAAATGTAATTTCAATTTCACCAAGTGAATGTGACATAAATAATAATGGTTTAGACTTTTTAAATATCATTTTAAAGTTAGATTGGAGGTAGAGTAATATCAGTTGACTCAATGGTACCAGACTTCGTCTCAACTTCATTAAGGTGGTAGAGGTTGGAGGTTCGAGTTTGGGAAGGTTCCAAAAGACCCCCGTGAGGGTGGGGTGAGGAATACGCTCAGTACCACCTGGGCTAAAGCTGGCATTACCTTGTGAGAGGGAAGTGTCCAGCGCTGGGAAAAGACCCTGGAGAGGCGGTGATGACCCAAACCCAAAGGGCTGTTATATAAAAGGCGCCTTTTATATAACAGCCCTGAACTTGTTACACATGACTTCAAATGAATCAATATCATGAGCTGCCAGTTGCCTCCTATACTCAGGTCTCATCTTGTTTAGGAACTGCTCATACTTCCATTCTTCATCAGCATTACTCCTCAAGTACAAGGAATATTTAGAGAGCTCATTAAATTTGGCTATGAACTCTTCAACATCCATATTGCCTTGTCTTAAGTTATGGAACTCAGCTTCTTTTGTTGCTCTTACAGTTGACGGGAAGTAGTGGGCAAAGAACCTCTTCTTAAATTGTTCCCAAGTCAATTCAGATCCATTAATAGACTTAACACTCTCCCACCATTGTTTTGCCGCGTCTTTAAGCTTGAAAGTAGCCAATCGGACCCGTTGTTCAGTAGTGCAAGTCATCACAGAGAAAATGGACTCTAATTCATCAATTCATTTCTCGCCAGCTCGGTCTACCATAGAACTCTCAAATGATGGCGGGCTCAATCTTGCAAACCTCTTGAATGCATGGTCAATGGTAACCTCTTCCACTTTCTCTTTGCCTTTATTTTTCCTTTTCCTCTGCCTCACAGAGTTATTTTGATCACTTTGTTCAAAATCCTTAAAGGACTCTTCTTCTTGTTGATTGTTGACTTCTAAATTTACTTCCCCTTGCTTCTCCTCAGGGTTACCAGTAGCGTTCACAATGACTTTGCTATTTTCCTCAGCAGCCTTCCCTAATATAACTTGGTTATAAACATCCATCCTCTTTTGGATGTCCATCAATATTGAAGTAAGGAGGGCTACATCGTTGTTATTACTAATTGTAGGAATAGCTTGAACTGGAGCTTGTGTAGAAGGTCCTGCTTGAGTCAAGACTTGAACTTGCTCAGTCAGGTTTAGTAACTCTGGCACCACCTGTCCTTGTTGGACTTGAACCGGTGCTGTTTCATTTTCCACCACCACCTGATCCTCTAATCTTTGTGGAATTGCCAAATTATTAGCGGCAGTGTTCCTGATTAGTACCATATTCTCCCCTCCTAAGGATGGAAGTAATACCACAAATGCAAAACAGTTAGTGCTAGCTCACAGAGGAAAAGCATATGTGTATAATGATAATTGCCAATTCTATATGCAAATGCAAGTACAATATAGTACACAATCATATAACAAGTCAAACACAAACCACAGTCTAGTTCTCAAAACTCGAGAACCCAATACCAATTTGTAAAGGACGTCTTAAATTAGGACTTAATCATCATACTAACCATGGTTAATCAAAGACCAATCCAAATGGATTATCCAATACGAGATTAACCTCAATGAATTCTTAATATGTATTTTTTTTAAACTATTTAATATAAACGGATCTCAAGTCTTTAAAATATTTTAAGAACTCATATCATTCAATTAAACTTATATGGAAGCATGATAATAACTATTTTTACTTGCACAAATATTTTAGCCCATTAATATAATACAAGCATCAAAACACATTTTCAAGAGCCTAAAATACCTTTCCATCCTACACAAAACCTATAGTGCAAGTGGATTAAGAATATATTATCCTAATTGGCAATATCATAAACTAAATACACATATCAACATAAAAGGAGAGAGGCCTACAGAAGTGATTATTATCACTTGGCCTAATGCTCCTTTCCTCTGTTCTTCTCAGATGAGTTAGCTCCTGTAATATGTTAAAAGAGAGGGATGAGTACAACCACTCAGTAACTAAGGTACATCTAAGTTGTACAAATGTATGATAATTAATCATGAATACAAGTGACTAATAAGTTTATCAAAGTGACTATGTAAACAATCACATTAATAACATGTTAATCACATTAACATCTAACTCATGTGAATAATTTCAAGAATAAAGTCAAGTACAAACTTTGCACAAATGGCTATATATACATTATTCACAAAATTAATACATATTCTCATTTCTACAATTATAATCACATTCTCAACATAGCCATCAATCACTCAAATGGCATGATAATAATAATATGTATGATTAATCTCTTCCTTGTATCCCCCCTTATTTCCTCTGACATGAAATCCATGGGCCAACAACCGGAAGGGATCGTCTATGTGGTGAGACTACCCAAAGCCTTAATCATGTCATGAAGGGCTACCAGACCAGGGTTACCTTACTTATGAACACGGTTTCCCCTAAATCACACACTATGGGGCGTCATACCCAAAACTAGCTCTACCCAAAACTCTAGGTAAGCCAATAGGGTCAAGTCCCTTAATAGGAACAATGCTACAGTACCTTATAAGGTAAGTAGCGGCTATAACCTCCAGGATTATTGGTTAATAGCCAAGTATCATATAGATTTTGTGTAATCGCTAACTCCTCCACTAAGGCGAATTCTCCCCATATGATCATGCTCATGAGAAAATGTATTTAAAAAACTCACACATATATATATATATATATATATTTCAAATTATTCCACATGCTCATCAACTTTTATCACTGTGCATAATCCACAACTTATAACCAAAAGTGTACACATAATCATCAACTATCAATCTCATTACTCACAAGTCATAGAGTCTCAACAAAGTCACATGCATTACAAACAACTATTTCAAATATATATATATATATATATATATATTCTTTTATTTTACTAACATAATTAATTAATTAACATACAAATGTATAAAATAGATTTCCTCCGGTTACCTCAACCTTTAAGAAGTCAAAGGTTACTCCTCAAGTTACAACACTTCCAAAGCTTTCCAAAGCTTGAATGGTGTCAAAAGAAAATTAATCCATAATTGATCATATTCTAATGTGTCAATAATATTATTAACACAATTTTCACTCATACTCTAACACCTAAGTATTTATTTTATTTTTTATATTTTTTTATATTTTTTTTAAGAATTTAGTCTTAGTCTCTTGAATTCTAAAATTTAATTTCATGTATTTGAACCTATCTACTTAGTTCAATAGTCTCCTTTATAATAATTTCATTCAAATAATTTTCTAATATCAACATTTCTCTTTTTATTCCAAATATTCGCACATAAAAATACTCAAAAATTGTAAACTTAATTTCAAGCCTAGAATCATTATTCTATAGCCATAATAATTTATTTCTCATCTCAAATAATCATCTAAATATCAACAAATCAATTTATATTTTCAGATTTAACAAAAAAATCTACCCATAGGGATCTAGAGATAAACTCAAATGCCTCAAATTCTAATTCTATCAATAAAATAATATTCTAAAATATTTATTATACTACTAACAACCTCAAAAACTATATTTATTCAACATAAATTCATCCCTCTTCCAAATCCTAAATTTTCTACCACCACAAAATTAGAAACCAAAGAGAAAGGATGACTAAGAAAAATTTTAGAATATTTACTTAGTCTTAGAATACTTAAAATCTCATCTGAAATATTCTAATATGGAACTTCACCTTCTAAATCAGCTCTGTTGCAGGTGTCACGCTCGCCATCTCTGTTTTCGCTCTCTGTGTCGCGCAGGAAAGAATGAAGAAAAGAGGAGAGAAATGAAAAAAGCAGGAGAAGTCTGTTGGTTTTAAAATAAAGAGTGGGTCCCACAATTTTTTTTAAATTTTCCTCTTTCCTCTCTTTTCTTTTATTATTATTATTATTATATATAGGTAATCATTACGCCGAAAGCTTCTCTTCCTCTTCTTTCTTTTGTTTGTTTGTTTTTTCTTTCTTATACCTTTTCCTTTTCTTTAATAATAATAATAATAATAATTTAATAGTTTTTTAATTAATTAATTAATTAATTAATTTTTTTAATTTTTTAATTTTAATTTAGAATTATATCTTAAGTTAGATTTAATAATATTTCCTACTAATTTGCTTACCTCTAAATATTTTTTTTAAATTTTTATTAATCTAAATTAACTATTAAAATTTAAATTAGGATGTTACAGTCTCTACAAAGTAATGTTTTTTTATGCACACTTTTAAAAATTAAACTTTGAAATGATACTTAAGAAATTTAAATTGTTACTATTTATGTTATATTCACTTGGTTTGATGAGTTTTAGTGATGTCAAAAAGACAGAGTTGGCAGTGAGAATGCTAAAGATTTAGACTTGAGAGCACAAGCCCACTTTGGGACAGCTTGGAGTTTTAGGGGAGATAAAAAGGAGAGAGAATCTGACATCAAAGCTCGTTTTGCAACGCCCATCAATAAACTCCTTTTCCTAGCTTCACCAGTAATGCTCGTTTCTTAGCTGAAAGGTAAACCAAACATACCTTTAACAATTGATGCTCAATAATTTTAGATAAATATTATGTATTAATAGTTGATTAGGTTACTATTTTTCTTTCAAGATTTAGGTTTTTCATTTGACTTTCACTATTTCCTTTCTTCATTTCTTTAAAAATTATTAATTAATAATCATCTTTTTATTTTTATAATCAAACATAAGATAATATTTGATTTTTATAAGTTCCTTAAGATTTTTTTTATAAAATTTGTGAACTATCTAAAAATTATTTATATTTATCTTAAGCAAACAAAACCTATGCCACATATTTTGTTTATGCTATTATCATTCATGCTATGTGTATCAACCTGTTGATATATTTTTTGTTTTTTTTTTTTTTATTTATATTGATCATAGCAATAAGGAATAAATACTTCCTCTGTTAAAAAATATAAAAGATTTATAAGAAATTAAATGTTAAAAAATATAAAATATTTTTAATTTTTTTGAGATATAATCATTACCTTCTTTACAAAGGTGTTTCTATTGATAATGATTTTATATTTATTATAAGGCATTTAATAGGTGTAAATGTGAAAAGATAGGGTTAGTTTGAAAATAAGTAATTACTTTGTCGGGAGGTAAAATTCGATTAAAAATATCTTATATTTTTAAACGGAGAGGATACGACTTGTTTTTTAACAAACTCTATCTTTTTATCTTTATCTTTATTTAATAAGTATTTCACTTTAAAATAAATATAAAGTGATTTATTTAATAAATATATTTAAAAAAACAATAATTATATTTTAAAAATTAAAAATATTTTATATTTTTTAAATTTTTAAAAAATATTTTATATTTTTAAACGGAGTGAGTAAATGTACAAGTGGTTTATCAACTTCTATTATTTTATACAAATTTTTATTAATTATTAACTAATTTTTGTGGGAGCCAAATTATCGCGCCTCCCCCCTCTTTCGTTTTTGCTCTTCTCGGCGCCGCCCCTGTCTACTCCACTTTCGACTTCGGACGCCCTCCCACCGTCGCTTTGATCGACTTCGCCGTCGTCCTCTGCGTCTTCAGGTTTTGCTGCCTGTTCTCTTGTGCTTCAATTCGTTCTATTTCTTCTTCCTCTTCTCATGAGGGATATCTAATTAAAATATACTTCAAATTTGTTTCTTGTGTTTCCTTTTAACAGATTTCTACTTCAAGTATTTTTTTTTTTTTGTGTTTTCTTTTTTCAAAGATTTCTGCTCCGAACCTTCTGCCTTTGTGTGTGTTTTCCATAGATTACTGCTTCGTTTTTGTTCGTTCAAGTTACATGGTTAAAGTTTTTTGTGCATTCTCTATAATGTAAATTTAAATTTTAATAAGAAAATATTAAAAAGATTAAAGTGCATAAAGAAAAAGTAAACTTATGTAAAGTAGTGTTTATATTTTAGCTTATAAATTACGCACAGATTTCTCATACTGCCGATATTCTGGGACTTGGAAGCAACAAGCCTTCAATTTCCTCTTCTGGTTTAGGCTTTGAAGCCTTCAATTTCTGATACGGTGCGATATTTTTGTTCATCCTCTTCATCTTTACACTTTCTCTTTCAGTTTCAGCTTTCTCTCCATTTATCAGTTTGCAGTAATTTCTTTCAGTTTCAGCAATCCTATTAGTCTTTCTTCTACTTTTTTTTAACTATACAAGTTCCTCATAACAGCTATGAGTATCGGAGCTTGCGCAGAGCTTTCGTGTTGCTTTGCTGGTGTTGCTATCAGAGCACGGTCTAACAAGCACAGTGGGAGCTGTCAATGCATAAGTAGCCACAATGGAATTGACGAAGAATTGAGAATTAGATCAATTGGTTCTTGCAGTCGCCTAAAACCTGTGTTGAGGAACAGTGTTGTAGCAGGTGTTTTGAACAATAACCAAGGTCTTACATATAAGGATGCTGGCGTTGATATTGATGCTGGTTCAGAACTTGTCCGAAGAATAGCAAGAATGGCACCTGGAATTGGAGGCTTTGGTGGTCTCTTCCCTCTTGGTATTTTCTCTTTCAACAATGGATTTATCCTTCTAATAGGTTTTGATAAAATAAGACTAATCATTTTGTTTTGGATAGGTGATTCATATCTTGTTGCTGGTACCGATGGTGTGGGCACTAAAGTGATGCTTGCTTTTGAAACTGGAATTCATGTTACCATTGGTATTGATTTGGTAGACTACTGGATTCTCTGTTTTCCCCCCCATTTCTTGGTTAAATGCTTGTCTATTATTGACTACCCTCTTCATTATAGGTTGCAATGAGCGTCAATGACATTGTTACTTCTGGTGCAAAGCCGCTATTTTTTCTTGATTACTTTGCCACAGGCCACCTTGATGTCGATGTTGCTGAAAAGGTAGTAACAAATGTGCATAGAGGCATAGAGTCGCATGAAATTCACCGTAAAGTTTCTTCATGTACCAGGAACGGCTACTAACTATTGATTTCTCAACAGAATAACATATAATTTTTCTTCTTCCAATAATTCAGGTGATAAAAGGAATTGTTGATGGTTGCCAGCAATCTGACTGCGTGCTCTTGGGAGGAGAGGTATTAAAATTTTTATAATTTATATTTTATTATTTGTAACAGGAATTTAATTCATTGAACATTAATCCTGCAAAGCCATTATCTGATAAAGAGAAATTTAGGCCTCTTGAAAAGACTAAAGCATTTATTGTTAAAGCATTGTTTTCCTGACAAAGTATAAATCTCCAGTTTGTGTCTAAATGGTGAGCAGTCACTAGTTCTGGAATTAGATGTAGTCTTGATTCTGTAATCTCGACTCATTTAAATAAATCCTTTATATATTGTTGTTTATATGTTTTGGTGTATGATAACAAGTTGATACAGTGTTTAGGAAAAATGACACAATTTTCTGATAGTTATCCATTTTTAACGGTTAACTATTGTTGTAATTTGTTGAGCTGCAATTTTATGTCAGAAAGATAATCTTATGAATATATTGCTACATTTGAACTGTTTGAGGTTATAAATCGGTCTTCTTTCATATGCTCAACACTCACACTCTTGTATCTAACATATTATATGCCAAAATTCTTGACACTTTTACGATGGAAAAAGCTTAATTTCACAGCTTTTCAGACTGCAGAGATGCCTGGTCTCTATAAAAAAGGCGAGTATGATCTTAGTGGCTGCGCAGTTGGCATTGTGAAAAAGGACTCTGTGATCAATGGGAAGAACATAGTTGCTGGTGATGTTCTCATTGGTCTTCCATCTAGTGGAGTACATTCTAATGGTTTTTCTCTTGTACGGAGGTATAGATGAAGAATCCATTTGATTTTGCAATTTGTTTTATTCTTTACATATATTGATGATAATGATTAATAATATATATATATATCTTTACAGGGTGCTTGCTCAAAGTGGTCTTTCTTTGCAAGATCAGCTTCCTGGTGCAAATGTTTCAATAGCTGAAGCTTTGATGGCCCCAACTGTTATTTATGTTAAAAAGGTCATTATCTTTGTGACTGATGATGATGCTTGATTTATTTTTTCAGTTCTTGAAAACATTTTTATTCACAACTGAGCATTGTTTCTTAATTTCAGGTTCTTGACTTAGTTAGCAGGGGAGGGGTTAAGGGAATTGCTCACATTACTGGTGGTGGCTTCACAGATAACATTCCTAGGGTGTTTCCTGAAGGTCTTGGTGCCAATATATACAAGGACTCATGGGAAGTTCTTCCAGTGTTCAAATGGCTTCAGAAGGTAAAACTTCTTTAATTATATTTTCATTGAAAATGATTTTGTTGGTTTGGAGATAATTTATGTTTTGTTGATTTCTTACATTATTAGGCTGGGAATATAGAAGACAGCGAGATGAGGCGAACGTTTAATATGGGCATAGGAATGGTGCTTGTTGTGAGTCCTGAGGCATCAATTCAAATACTTGAAAATAGGGACGAATCAGACAAAATCTTCAAAATCGGTGAGGTTATAAGAGGCAAGGGAGTGACCTTTAGTTAACTCAAGTATTTTGACTATAAATATATGTAACCTTTTAAATACATTTCCCTGACACAAATTTCACATTTTCGATTCAGTTTTCTCTGCAAAAATGTTCCTGAGTTAGCGACATTTTTTATGATGCAATAATAATTGAGTTGCTCGTGAAAATGTTTAGTTTGTCTTTCTGTATTGCAAGGCATTGAGATTCAATGATCATGTCATGTATTTGGAGAACTCAATCTTAATGTCATGGATTCCCATGCAAATCTAATAAAAACCTCACTTCCAAGGGAAGTGTATTAAGCTTTTAAATTTCATTGAAAGGAGCTGTTAAGAGCGTAAAGATGAAAAGAGAGGAGAATGAATCATATTACTTGAGTGAGGTTGTACAATATATATTTATGCAACATTGGACAGCCTTAGGAATTAGGATAGTTGTGACTGAGGTAACAGAACACAATTACTTTCTAACAGCCTCTAACACTCACTCTCAAACGTAGAGTTAAGTATCTTGACAGTTTTTAAATTTGTTCTTGAGTTACGCAAAATCTAGATTTATGAGGAGGCTTAGCTAGAGTGTTTGCCGTTTGATGTAATAATCTAATAAGGGAATATGACATGAAAATATTCTTCCTTGCAGCTATCACCCTCACATAGAATAGGTCTAAATTTATTTGCTTAGTTTTACAAGAATGGATTAGATATTATGACCGTGCTTAGGTTATTATATTAGATTGTTGCTCTTAAGGATTCAACCTCAGGACTTATAAATATTCTGCATCTGTAGTTGATTAGGTCACTATTTCTTGTTCACAAGACCGATCCTAAATAAATGCAACGTCTTGATCTTGATATTCTGTATTCAAGTTCAGTCCTAATCCGCATCACGGAAAGGTGCCAAAGGTAAGGTTGGTGATTTTGAGCTGAAAGACCTGAGTCAAACTATCTTATGTATAGAATAAAATTGACAAAGTGATAATGAATGAGAAATGATCATGTTTGTACTTAAAAAATATAATGAAAAACTGTTAGATATTAATAATAATTTAATAAAAAGTATAATTGATGTTATAGAAGGGTCCTTTTCTATATTTAGCCATTCTGCACCCTGTTGCTTGAACCCAACATGATCTAAGGATTCTTGTTATTGCGTTCTTGAATGTTTTGGTGGTTGGCGCATGAATCGTTTTTCTTGAGTGCTCTACATTAGTTATAACAACTGTAACATAAATAAGAGCCTTAAGTTGCTGAGGGAATGTTTTTTCTTGAGTGTCCTACATTTGTATAAAATAGAGACAATTCCAGAACGTTTGAATTTGAAGTTCGAACACGTTTGAATTCTCGACTTGTATTTGGCCAAAAAGAAAACCTTCTCAACTTATTTAAAAAAGTATTTAGTTTTATTTAAATTATTCGCATTCACATTTAAATTTGAATGACTTGTATTTTATTTTCATTTTTTGAAAGAATATTTTAGCATGTTTATTTTAAAATATACACGTTTTCCCTACACTATAGGAATAAGTACGAAGTCTAACGAGGTGTTCCCAATGACAATTAGCTGGGTTCAAAACATTCCACTTCCTTCGGCTGTTCTTCATAGCACCGAATTAGGTGAGTTGAATTAACGTTTGTTTTTAATACAAAACATTTAGGTGAGTTGAATTCTAAGAATTTATTAAGGTTAGGACATGCTTTTTGAATTTAAAAAATATTTATAAAAATATTTACAGATTATTTATTAACAAAATTTTTATATTGACAATGAAATTTTATCTACAAATTTGTCGGTTTGTCTTTTTGATTTTGGGATTTTGTTTGCTAGGTTTGTTAGTTGCTATTTCGACTTGTTTGGGCTATGTTTTCTTCTAGGGCTACCCTTATGAATGGCTCTAAATCAATTATCTTTCTATAACTTTTCAATCAAGTTTAGGGGTATGGTGTGATATAATTTCAATTAGCGCAGAAGTTTTTCCATGTACTGATGTCTGATGTACCAGATTCTACATCCTTTTCTCCTAGAATATGTATATTTTTACGTTATTTCGATAAATGCTTAACGCTAGTTATTTTTTCCTCGCTGTACTATTATTCATTTTATCACTTAATTTCATTTGATGTACCAACTGAACCTTTCTATATTTCTTAATAATACCAAAAAAAAAAAAATTCTCAAGTCCTGGGTCCGACGAAAGTCATGAAAAATCATGTTTGGTGTACAAGAATATTGACTCTATTGGTAACATGGTTCCATCAAAATATATGGTGGCCAAGACATATATGTAACCCTAAACGTCTCCCAATGTGTGTGTCAAACGCAGTTCCAATTTCTTAGGGTATGTTTGGATTAACATTTGATAACATTGATTGTATATAAAATTAATTTATATGATCGATTTTAAGTATAATTGATTATGTTTTGTGATAATTGGTTGATAAAATTTATTTTGAATATAACTGATAAGCAAAATTGAAGATTAAGCAAAACCACAATTTTATGAAAATATATCAAAAAAATTTTCTGAGTATGTTTGGATAAGATTTTAAATTGAGGTTTGAGTGGCCTAATTTCAGTTGGGGTCTAAAAAGCTCATTAAGAATCTTGAAGCGTTGTTTGTAGAAAATTATTAGTGAATAACCAAAATACAAAGAAATGAAGAATTCAAGAGAGAATTGAAAAAGAAAGAAGGAGTAATAATTATTTACTTGAGCATCACAAATGTGTGGCGCATACTCTCTATTTATAAACCTCCAACCCTACATGATGGTAGCAAATTCATAAATAAGAAAATTATTCTATATTATATTAAAAAGTTGCCAATTTAAGAGCTATAAGGTAGGGGTGAGTATTGGTCGGTTCGGTTCAATTCAGTTCCAAAACATGTAGAACCGATCGATCGAATAACACTAAAAATGAAAACCGAATCAAACTAAACAAAGACCAAACCGAAATTTGATAATTAAGTTCGATCGGTTAATTCAATTTTTTAGTTTTATATTAGGCTATTGAAATTGAGTCCATTTTTTTAAATATTAAAACAAACAACACTATAAAATTGGGGTTTCGGTAAAATATATTGAAGGTGACTAATGAATAAAATCAAAGGAGTAACCTTTTTTTTGGTAATGAAATGTCTCAAGAGCTCACTAGAGTTAAAACTCCAAGATTAAATAGTGCTTATAGATTATCTATCAATAAAATCCTCACACCAACAACGGAATTCAATCCCATGAATTAATAAATTATGGATCAAATTTTTATTAATTAAATCAATTTTTATGGGCAATAGCAATACCATTGTTATGGCGATGGGCAGATTCATTCCTTTTCAAAAGGATGTTTGGATTCAGTGGGTTCCACGAATTCTGAATGAGGTTGCATGCAGACGGGCTTGAGAAGGCTGGGTTTCGTTCCTCAGCTTTGAACGACAATGTTACTGAGTATCTTAGGGCCCGGGTTCTACAAGATAATTTGGGATGATGTAATGTTACTTTTACGTAATTGGGCTTAGCCCTCTTTTATTACCAAGAAAAATTAAAAAGAAAAAAGAAGGCATCTTAGCTATCCAATACAATATGGTCCAATATAACATGATTCAACCCAGCACAGCTGCCCAAACTACTCTTCCCACGGTTCATTATTTTTTACATTCTCTCAAGTTGGAGTATGGTGAAAGAATTTTCTTGTACTTTCTTTTTTGTATTCGTTCCTTTTCGCTGAATAGAAAGTTTCCAGTTTTCATTCAACCAAAAAAAAAAAAAGCAATCTTTCATGACTGGTTTCTTTTTTGTATTCGTTCCTTTTCGCTGAATAGAAAGTTTCCAGTTTTCATTCCACAAAAAAAAAAAAAAGCAATCTTTCATGACTGGTTTCCCTAAGGTTTTAGTCAAATAAGTTATAAGTTGGGGAGTCAAGAAGATACTAGGATCAAATATGTATAATATATTGTCAACAAATTTCACTAATAAGTTAACAAGTAACACAAGTGAATTAGCAAGTTAACTTAGGGTGTTTAATAAATCATCAAGCTTGAATATGTATAAGGTGTTGTTAACAAATTTCATTGGTGAATTAATGAGTTAAATTAGGGTCATCTGCATTGAATATGTGAAAGGTAGTAATAATAGATTTTGCTAGTGAATTAATAAGTAATATTAGTGAATCAATTAACAAGTTGAATTAGAATTTTAACAAGTCACAAGGATTGATTATGTAGAAAGTACTTTCAACAAGTTTCTTTAATGATAGTAAATTAACAAATACTATTAATAAAATAATAAGTAACATTATTAATAAGTTTACTTAGCTCTGGTTTGGAAGTTTGATTTATGTTATATATTATATTTGGCATTATACAATCAATAAGCACAATTGGTTTAGTGGTTAGTATGTTTTCAGTGCACCCTGGTTGTCGGTGGTGAGTTCCAATGATCTGGATTTTTAATATATATATATATATATATATATAAAAGGGCATTATGGTCATTTCTCTTAAAAATGTATTTTCACTTTAGTGGATTGATCCCATAGGGAATTTCCAAAATTCATTGGCCTGGTTTGAAAGAATTCCATATTACACCAGTCCTATATTGAAATTCAAATTCTCCCCGTACTTTGAGAGATGTTGTGTCAAAGAATGAAACCAACAGGAAATTCTTACATGCACACGGGTCACCACATTATTCATATTTTATTTAAATAAAAATATTTCATGTCATATGGCTGTAAATATATATAAATTGATTTTATTATTATTGATGATATGAGAAAAAGGAAAAGAAATTAAAGAGGCTCTTTATTCCAAAAATAAGATGCAAAATTTTATTTAATTGAATTTGTATAATTTTATTGAATAGAGCATAGATAACTTGATAGATTGATCCATGCAAAAGTTTCTCATATTCTAGAACATTGAAAAAACTAGACAAACCTAATAGGCACCGGACGGAGTATACATTTTTTGGCCGAAGACTCTTAAGTTGAAATTATCTCAAGTAGATGTTTCATGATGCATGAAATCAAAGCACATCTAATCTATATAATATCTATATTAATTTGGGATGTTTAGGTGAATAATATTTAAACATCTATCCAATATCTAATAATTATATTAATTTGGGATGTTCAAGTGGATGGTACTTAAACAATGTTTGTCGCAGTGCAAGTT